AAATAAGATGTTGAAAACCATGGTCCATTTCGTGACGTACAAAAACCATGAGAAAATACGAAAACTAGTATAAATACTAGAGGAATAAAATATGGAAAACCCTTGGATGTTGTCAAAGCCGAATAAGAAAAGCTACTCCAAAAATAAAGGCTTATCCCTCGGAAAAAGCTCAAAACAAATATCAATCGTTTCATCCTACGAAAATCCAACCAAAATGATTCTATTCATTTTATGAAAATCAAAAGGTTAATTCAGGCAGATTGATGCGAAAAAAAAATCTTCCGCCTCTGCTCACACAAGCTAAAAAAACACGCTGCTGGCTGATGCTGCAAGCAAATTTATCGACTAACTGACCAACACAAGTAACGGATAACTGCAGACGTATCCAATCTCTAATCCGGTTGAAGAAATGATGACTAAAACCTGGCAAATATCTCTCTGTTTTACTCTATTTTAAGACAACATACTCATTTCTGCGGGTAATCGTCGGTAGCTAATGGCGAAAATCACATCATGTTTATTCCAATAGATCACTAATTTCCAAAAACATTCTGGCATAAAAAATAAAATAAAAAAAATATATGCCCAAATCAAACTAGTGCTACACCTAACAATGGTCTATACCAGATTCTAGCCACATCAATCAAATTAACAAATTGAAAGATAAAACTTTGAAGATTCTATGTTCAATTAAACACACTGATTAGCATTTGTTCATACACATTGATAATCGACCAAAAAAAAGCAAATTCGAAATCGGATTTTTAAATCTCAACACTAATTATTCGCAAAATAAGTAAAAGCACATTATTAGAGAGAGAGAGAGATGATACCTCCATGGCTTAAACAGATGAAGAGGAAAAGGTTAACGACGCGGCAGCGGAGGTAGGATGCGGTCGGTGGCTGGAAAGATGAAGCTTAGGGAAGCCGGCGGCGGTGGTGGTGGTGCTGTTGGTGGCAAGGAGCTGTGCTGTGAGAATTCCACTTTAGAAGCGCACGATAAAAGTTCCAATTTAGGGGCGCACGATAGCATCAAGCAGCATCGTGAAGAATCATGAAGATGGTAATGGGGACGTGACGTGTCTCTTGGCACGTGAGCCTCACGTGTTGGGCTTCTTTAGTATCTTGACTCACTGGGTCAATTTTGTAGATGGGTTATATTCTGGGCTATCACACTTATTGGGCTTTGATTTAAATCGGCCGTATTGTCATGCAAATTGGACTATATATTTGTGTTCCTTGCAAAAATTAGATGATTCATGCGTGTAAACAAATCGAGTCGAATTCGAACGAGCTTTAGTCAGAACTGAATTCGAATAACTTTCTTCCGTATACATATTTAAAAAAAAAGTATATTGATATGCATAATTGGGCCAACCCAATGGGCCTACAAATTACTTACCTACTGGGCCACGAGCCCAATATCGAAGACCACTATCACCGAGGCCCAATCACCTTCAAGTAAGGTTTGGGCCCGACAATCTCAACTAAACTATAAATAAATGTTTGAATTCATTCCTTAAGGTACGTCCTATTAACTGAGCAATACTACAATACGTATTCTCTGGACTATTTCTATGATCAGCACGTCTGACTTGAGCGTCGGAGGGGTTTCTGCCGGATCCACCCCCGGCTTAGTTCATGTGTGCTCATTTTGCAGGGACCTCAGGATCATCAAGTTGTTAAGCTACTGATCTGCTTTGCTCTATCAGCTCATTTTCTACACCACCCTAGGTGAGCTACATATTACCATCATCATTTTGGCGCCGTCTGTGGGAACGATGCAAACCAGATCACGTAGCCAACAAGATCCTCCTGAGGCGTGTGCTCAGAGAGAAAATGACACAGCTAACGACCTCCCACCTATAATAAAATAAATAAAATATTGAGAAATATTGAATTTGGCTTGTGGTCCTTGTGGGTACATACATTCATATATTGACCTTTTAAACTTTTGGTTAGTCGTCTTGACTTATGACACAGTGTTCTTTATTGGTTTAAGTTTCTTTGATTGGTCAGATTTTATATGACACAGCTAACGACCTCCCACCTCGTGGAGGCTACTGATCTGCTTTAATTGAGGTATTTAATTAATAAATAAATTGCGATTTTATTAATTTTATATACTATATATAATAATAATGAACAGGCATTTAATTACATAAAAGTTTATTTCGAATACTTTAACGAGTGTAGCATAAATTCGAGCGAATTTTGTGTATGAAAATTTTAGAGTCAAAAGGAGTGTAAGAAACGATTACATTTCTATTAATTGATCAAATTATTACTCCATATATTCCACAATAACTTTCTCGTTTGCAAAATATTCTTATTATATATTATCAGTCACTTTACATTTCCAATATTGTATTAATTTTTTTTTCCTATTTTAACCTTATTGATTAAATTTTAAGTGTCAACTCTCTCTTATCACATTATTAAATGATCAAAGTTATTAAAGTCCTTTTAATGTGTTTTGCCTAAAATCGAGGCATACCTATTAATTTTCTTAGTACTTGTGCAAAACTGGAAAACGACAATTATTTAGATACGAGGAGGATTAGTCATCACTTCAGTTTTTCCCAGACGGCAGCTGCAGCTGATATGAATAGGCTCACGTGACTGATGGCGGTCTTCCCAGTATGTTGTAATAAGCAGCCATACAAATAAATTAATTTGACCAAGACTTCCATTCATTTGCAGTGTGATTAAAAAATAAAGTCTTCTTTTATAGCAAGGGATGATCCTACGTTTGAAGAGAGTGGATTTATGTCAATTGACCAATGTTCGAAATTTCTTGTTTGCGGTCATTAATAAAATCACTTTAATCACTTTAAAACTAAGTAAATTAACAACTTCAGTTATTGAAACCAACGTGTCAAAATCTTCACTGAATATAGCACGGAATAAACTGGAAATAACTCCGCCTACGTTATGGCTCAAATCTCTTATAAAACAGTCATGTAATTCGGAAGTAGGAAAATTGTATTATTTAAAAAAAAAATGGTAAAGTAAACATACAACCGAGAGGTATGCTAAAGTAAATTTAAGATCTCTGTGGTAGATAAGTTATTACGTTACGTTTCTAACAAACTATATTAGTTTCAGGAATTGGCTCGCCCAACATTTCTTAATTTTTTATTAGTTTACATAAGATTTATAAGTTTTCATCTATGGTAGCATTAACGGCCCCGCAGAAAACAAATATAGTACATATCGGTCCCTAGAGTATGAAATTCTTGATTTCGGTAATTGTTTAGGGGGTGTGGTTGTAATTATCATACCATATGTATCTTAAAGTTATTATAGCATACTTCAAGGCTGTAGGTGTAGTTTATCCTTCAAAAATTATAAAATAGTACATAAGGTCAAAATAGGAATTTCACGAGTCAACCAAAAACAGGAACTTGGAGTCTTTTCTTCCTCCCCCACGGCCCACATAACAACTTTTTCCACACGGCCCATTAAAATCGACAAATATCAATAATGCCATATTTCATTCTAAATTAATTAAATAAGCTATATTTTATAAAGACTTAATCCCACTTTGCACCCTCGAAATAGAGTTTTTTGGCACTTTGTATCCTTGAAAAACAATAATAGCACTTTGCACCCTCAAAACACAATAAACCATTCACAAATCACCATGAATTGAATAATAAAGAGAATTTCATTTTTTATTGGTTTTTTTTTTCGGGGTTCAAAATAACAAATTAAATTGTTACTTTTTTCAACATCCAACCTGATTTCGGGCGCACAAAGTGCGATAAAATAAAAGTCACACCAGATTATTGAAAAAAACTATATTTTTCTTACAAAATAAAATAAAATAATTTTTTATCACTTGATTATTCGATTGATGAATCTTTTATTGTAATTGGTGGAAATATTATGTAGAAATATTTGGAAGAAAATATAATTTTCAGATAACTTGAATCCGAAATAGCTGAAGGATTTTTTTTAGTAAAATATTTGTTTGTGATAAAAAATATTTTTTTAAATATGTTGATGAAATGTATTTTTATTTTTGCACTTTATAGTTTCAAAATAATTGATAGATACAAAAGAAAGTTCACATTTGACATCCTAAAAGAATAGTACTAAAAATAATTAAATTGTCTTTATTAACTTTAAAAATTCATTTAGGGTGAATTATGCATAATATATTGTGTTTTTAGGGTGCAAAGTGCTATTAATTTATTTTGAGGGTGCAAAGTGTCAAAATGCTATAATTCAAGGGTACAAAGTGAGATTAAGCCATTTCATAAACAAAAGCAAAAAATTAAAATTAAATTAAATAATACCTGTTTTTTCTTCGGAGTCAACATCAGATTTTCCACAATAAAAAAACACCAGCCATCATTTAAGACCTCCAACTTCCAAGCACCACCACCACCTTCCTCCACCGCCGGCGGCCAACCAATGGCTTCATCTCCATCAAAATCCCATTTCTCTCTCCTATGTTTCTTCACATTAATATTCCTTGTTCAATCAACACCACCAACTCTTCTCCCTTCTGATTTTAATGCCCTTCTGCAAATACACAAAGAACTCCGTATCTGCCGTACTCCGGGCAGGAATCCATGTGGTTCCGCCGGAATATTCTGCGAACGGAGATTAGTCAACAATACTCACGTTCTCAGAATCACCCGTCTAGTCTTCGAATCTCGACGCCTTAAGGGCAGACTTGCTCCGGCCATCGGCAAGCTATCCGAGCTCAAAGAACTTTCCTTAACTGCCAACCAACTGTTCGACGAAATGCCTCATCAAATTTCCGACTGCAAGAAACTCGAGCTCCTTAACCTCGGAAACAACCGATTTTCCGGCGAAGTCTCACCGGAGCTATCGTCGTTAATCCGTCTCCGAGTTCTTGATTTGTCTTCGAACAGATTTACAGGGAAATTGAAGTTCTTGAAACACTTCCCCAACCTGGAAAAACTCAACCTCGCCGACAATATGTTCGCCGGAAAAGTGCCGGTACCGTTGAAATCCTTCCGGAATCTCAGATTCGTCAACATCTCCGGCAACAGTTTGCTCGAAGATTCTCCACCAGATCAGTACTATTCATCCTCAGAAGCCAATGAAAAACAAAGCATCCCAAAACGTTACTTTTTCGCCGAAACAAACCAATCCACCGTCGCCATGCCACCAGCCTCTAACGCGGCGGCAGCAGCACCATCTCCGGCGAAAGCACCACCACTCCTCCCCAAGCACAAAAACAACAACAAAAGGAAACTCATCGCCTGGATCCTCGGATTCGTTGCCGGAGCATTCGCCGGCATTTTATCCGGAATAATATTCAGCTTCGTCTACAAACTAATGAAGTTCTTAATCGAAGGTCCGAACAAAGACACAAGCTTGCAAATCTTCAGCCCTCTTATTATCAAAAAAGCCGAAGATTTAGCATTCCTCGAAAAGGAAGACGGATTAGCACCGTATCAAATCATCGGCAAAGGCGGATGCGGCGAAGTATATAAAGCAGTTTTACAAAGCAACGGTATAGAAATCGCGATCAAGAAAATAATCCAACTCCCGACCGATGGAGATGATCTCACCGAAGAAGACAGCAAGCTCTTGACCAAGAAAATGCGTCAAATCAAATCCGAAATCAAAACGGTCGGCCAAATTCGGCATCGCAACTTGCTTTCTCTACTAGCCCATCTCCCGCGCCCCGATTGCCACTATCTCGTCTACGAGTTCATGAAAAACGGTAGTTTGCAAGATTGTCTACAACAAGTGGTAGAAGGTACAACTTTCAGTAGAACCTCGATAAATTAATAACCTCAATTAAATAATAGTTTCTCTCAGTCCCGACTCGGTGAAAACGTATTAAATTATTAACTCGATAATTTAATAATTCGCTAAATTAATAGAATTTCCCTACTCCCGACTATATTAATTTATAGAGGTTTGATAGTTATTAGTTACTGGTTCAAGGTGCGAGGTGCTTACTAACAGACTACCTTGTCCTGTCAGGTACACGAGAACTGGATTGGCTAGCGCGGTACAAGATCGCACAAGGGATCGCTTCGGGGCTCGAATATCTCCACATGAGCCACACGCCGCGGATAATTCACAGGGACCTGAAACCGGCCAACATCCTATTGGACGATGAAATGGAGGCAAGAATCGCGGATTTCGGACTCGCGAAAGCGATACCTGATTCTCACACGCACGTGACGACCTCGCACGTGGCGGGGACGCTTGGGTACATCGCACCGGAGTATCACCAGACGCTTAAGTTCACGGACAAGTGCGATATGTACAGCTTCGGCGTGGTGCTTGGTTCGTTGATGATAGGGAAGTTGCCCTCGGACCAGTTTTTCCAGCACACGGAGGAGGTGAGTTTGGTGAAGTGGATGAGGAACGTGATGAAATCCGAGGAACCGAGGAGGGCGATCGATGCGAATTTGTTGGGGAATGGGTTCGAGGAGGATATGCTGTTGGTGCTTAAGGTTGCGTGTTTTTGCACATTGGATAATCCGAAGGAGAGGCCGAATAGTAAGGAGGCTCGGCTCATGCTAGCGCAGATTAAACACTAGTTTTTAGTTGTGTGTAGAAGAATTCAGAGGGGTTCTTTGTGTTGTTTTTCAATTAAGAATGTGCGTACTTGACTGTAAAAAAATGATGTTTAAAGCATTTGAATTGTAATAAAATTATTTGTAATGGTTTTTTTAGCATATTGTTTGGTTTACAATGAACCTAAGAGAGTTGGGAACAAGGTGATCTTCAATCTTAAATATATATATATATATATATATATACCTATGATCAGACATAATTAAAACTTGATAATGAACAGAATTCCATTAAGTTGTAGTCATTAAACAACTTCTAGATTTCTTTTCTCCTCTGGCTAAATTTTTTCAAATAGTATATTTACTGAAAACAGTATGAAATTCTCAACAGAGCCCTTATAGCTCAGTGGTAGAGCGTCAGTCTTGTAAACTGAAGGTCCGCAGTTCGATCCTGCGTGAGGGCAATTATTCAATTAATATTCCTTTTATTTTTTGGTTTTTTCCAAAAATATTTTTCAGGGCAATTATTCAATTAATATTCCTTTTTTTTTTTTTGGTTTTTTCCAAAATATTTTTCATTGTAGAAAAACTAATAATTCCAAAAAAATAACCAATCAAAAATTAATCTACCAATGTGTGACAATTTGTCAAAAAAAAAAAAAAAAAAACCAATGTGTGACAAGATGCTCAAGATTTGATTAGTTCTGTATTAGTTATATATTAATAATATCATGATAATATTTAATAATAATAATATCCTCCCTCTAGCTAGCTTGCTTGAATTGCTTATAATAATAATTAATAATTAATTATGATTAATAACACCCACTTAAGTGGAATCTTTCATGCTCATGTTACATGTAGCTTGTCTTGTATAGCTTAATTATAAGTTTCGCCGCAACAAATATGAACTTTGTAATATGGCTGCATAACTTTTGTTCTTGAAATCAACAAGCATGTGAGGTCTATTATTAAACTAAATTCATATTAAATTAATATAAAACCCACATCTTTTTTTGGAACAATTATATTGTATAGACTAACCTAAAGTTAATGTATAATTAATAAATTTTATGATTCCAAGAAATTCATACTAGTAATGTTGGAATGCCAGATTCACATGTTTCATGATTTAATTATACCAACAAGAATTGTTTCAAATATTTCTTTAATATTCCAAAACTGAAACTGAAATCCGAAACTCGAAACCCGAAATCCGAAATAACTCGAAACTCGAAATTGCAATCGAAACTGAACTACGAAAAAGGGAAAAGAAAAAAAAAAGATAATTAGTGAAATAATGTTAATTAAGTTTATATATATTACAATTGTCACTTAATATTGTCACTTATTATATGTTGCTTCTTTTTGTAATTAACATGCATAAGAGTACTTATGCGTAACTAAGTAAAATTATTGATGCATGTAAGGTTGTGCATAAACTGTAACAAATGACAATTAGTAATTATAATCTACTTAGAAATTAAATCCTCAACAAAATTAATAAACCACAAAATATTAATCACTTCATAAATAGTAAAATTAAATCAAGAACTCAATTATCACCACCTGGAATTACAATCAAGAACCACAATTTTCCAGGCCCTGATTTCTCCATCCAGGCTTCCACTAAAAACAGAAAAACCATCATCACCACCTGGAATTAAAACCAGGGATTTAACAGGTTTACAATGCCCTTCCAATACAGCCAAACAGCCCCCAACAAAACCCTTTTCATATTTCCAAATTCTTACACTTTTGTCTGAAGAACCACTAATCACCACACCATTATCCACACACACTAAACTCAAAATTGCCCCATTATGCCCTTTCAAACAACAACCAACAAACAAATCATTTTTATTATTATTATTATCATTATTATTGTTATTTTTATTATTAGTTTCCTCCCTCTCCCAAACGAGGATAACTCGATCGCCGCCTCCAGAGCACAAAATCGAGCCCTCCATCGTCAATGCCAACGCGTTAACACTAGAGGCGTGTTTGGATAAAGTCGTTAGCAACATATGCTTTTTCGTCTCTTTCGATACTTTCCAAACTTTTATCTCTCCGTTCGCGGAGCCGGTGTAGACTGTCCCGCCGGTGGGGTCCACGGCAACGGCGTTAACAGCATCTGCATGCGCCTCGTTAACGGAATCCAAACACGGCATATCGGGCGAAGACACATTCCAAATCTTGAAACTCTTATCCCACGAAACCGAATACATTAATCCGACATCATTATTCACCGTTAATGCCGAGACAGCATCTGCATGCTCGATACGTAGCTTGTGCTCGTTCCGCCTGATTCGAACGTAGTTCTTCGGCGACAAGCGGTTGAAGAAACGATCTTTGAACGTGGGGAGTGTTTGGATAAGGTGGTGCTTCATGATCTGTTTGCTTCTTGAATATGATGATGATGATGATGACGTCATCACTTTCTGCCAAACCCTAATCCTGCAGTCTTGATGTGCTGTGAAGATTCTTCCCTTGCTGAATGCGATGGATTTGACCGAACCCGAATAACCCGACCCGAACGTGTCTAAAAGTGAGAGCGTCGTTATATCGAAGACGTTTACTTCTTCGGTCGATGCGGCGTATAAGAGGTTGTAGTAGTTGTCGTCGTTTTGTACGGCGAGGCAGCTGATGATTTGTGAGGTGGTTGTGTTAAGGGAGGCGATGAAGGAACAAGATGCGGGATAGTAGTTTGGTGGACCGGCTGCCGGCGTACTTTTTGTGGCGGCGTTGGATTGAAGACTGTTGAAACTTGTGTTGAATTCACACAGTGTGGGTGCACTGTGTGTTTCATGGCTGACTGTACCAGAAGAAGATGTTTGAACTTCCTCCATTGATATATATATATATATATATATATATATATATATATATATATATATATATATATATATATATATATATATATATGATTTGCAAGAAGAATATTTTTTCTGGACAAAGAAATGAGCAATGTATATATATTAGATACACACACATACACACACGCATAGACGGTGAAATATGATATGAGATAGCATGTGATCTCCTAACGGGGTTTCATATATATATATATATATATATATATATATATATATATATATATATATATATATATATATATATATATATATATATATAACACTTGGGAGTTGAGACAATGGAGAATTTGTCATTTGGCCAAACATTAGTTTAGTTTAGTTTGTGGACCAAAGTGCTAAGTTAATTGGTTGGCCATTACATTTGTCAATTTGTTCTGGACCCCCTTTTTTTTAATGTTAAATTAATTAGCTAGTTCTGATTAATCTTTAAGGCTTTGTTTGGTTTGGGAGATTGATTATTAACTGAATAATTTACTTTGTTTGATGCTTGGTATTAATTGGTTTCCCAAATAACTTGTCGGGTCGGTCGACCTGAAAATATTATGTTATCATGGTTTATCTTGCCTTATATAACGGTTTTTTGTTGAATGTCTTGAAGTCTGATAAAATAATTATGTTCTTATTAGATTATTTAATCTTATCTTGACAACCAAACGAGGCCTAAAGAGTCGACACGGTAGGAATCGGCACTTCAAATAATTACTTTTACACATTTTATATGATTTTAAGTTGATATGGTAATTTGATCAATATCTTTTTTCTTTCCCTTTTTCAAAGACAATAAATTAAGTGATTAAAATAAAACAAAAGTGCATTTGCATGTGAATAATAAAATATTAATTTGTATGAAAAGATAAATATTAAGTTAAAGTGCTGACAATTATTCATGCGACATCATTGGAGAAATAAAACAAACTAAAAATCTTGAATTATAGTTTAATAAAACATCCCGGCAACTTTTAGTTGGGCAACGGTCCACCAATAAGATTTTATTAATTTTTAGTTATAAAAAAAAAAAAAAAAACAAAGAGGTCGTATTAATTTGTTTAGGGTTTAATGAGATTTGTCTGAAAAAGTACCTTGTTGCTTCTCTTTTGTACCTTAGTAATTAGTATGAGGAAATATTAGTATTTTTTTTTTTGGTGACATGGATTAACATAAATGATTAGTATTAACACTCGAAAAAAAAATAATTTCTCCGTTATTACTTAAATTTATACTTAAACGAACGAAAAATACAACTCGTAAAATGTACTAGTGTGCTTTATGCTTTTAGGCCTCGTTTGGTTCAGGATTCAAGAATTGACTCTGATTCCCTTTTTTTTGGGAATTCTGGAAAATCGGTTTTTTGGAATATTATTGTTTTTTTCCGGAATACTTTCTGAATTGTTCAAAAAAATAAAAATAACAATAAGAATATATATATATATATATAATAAGTAATAACTATTAATAATATTCGTAACATATCGGAAATAATCGGAATAATATTTTCTGAATTATAACAACTATTTAATTCATATATATAAATAAAGTCTTTTTGGCCAATTTCACAATTTTGTACTATACTATCTCACTTTTAAACACGTGGCAGATCATTGCCTCAAATCAGTACATGACTTTATAACCAATTTTTTTCATGTTAGTAAAAATCAGATTCCACAACGTACAAGTACTAAAAGGAGAAGATCAATTAAAACGTGGACCAGTCAGCTTTTGCCATCTGTCACAGAAACACACACACAAAGTGTGACTCCAACGTTGTACGTATAACTCTCATTTTTGCATGGTTTTCTTTTTTTTTTTTGATGAATTTTTTTTGTATGGTTTATGATCATATATAATATATTCATAATATAGTTTGAGTTAGCAATAATATACTTTTGGATTAATTTCTCTCTAATCATAAATGGAACCACCAACACCTCCGCCGCAAATTCTGCCGCCACCACCTCCCACCGGAATCCCGTCAAAAAATTTTCCGATCAAAATTGAGCGCATCGAAAAATCTCCACCGATGAACTTCCCTAGCCCGGGTTCGAAAGGGAAAGGAGTATCTTTATTAACAAACCACTTCAAAGTTACCGTCGGAAGTAACGGTGTTGGTGATTTCTTTCACTATGATGTTAGTAGTCCCTTTAATTAATTTATTAATTGATTTTTTTTTCTTCGATAAGTTTTCGCGTTTCTGTTTGAAAAAAAAATTAACGGTAAAAAATGGCTGTTTTAATTTCTTGATTTAGATATTGATATCTTACGAAGATGGCCGTGAAGTAACTCGAAAGAATCTTAAGATGGCTTTGGTTGATAAACTATCGGAGGTTTATAAAACAGAGCTAGCTGGGAAAAGTCTCGTTTACGATGGAGATCGAAGCTTATTCGCCCTCGGCCCACTCCCGCAAAACAACCTTGAGTTTTCTATTGTCCTAAATCCCGTTTTAGCAAAATGGTAAAAAAAAAAAAAAAAAAATTATGTTGTATAAGATTATTTGCTTAACCATTAATTAATTAATTATATCTAAATTGATCAATGCATGTATAGTGTTAGTGGGAATGAACAGAAGAGGCAGAGGCTTTCGTCTACTTCGAAAATGTTTAAATTGCGGTTGAAATTTGCGTCTCGAATATCGATGCAGAGGAGATTAATCGACTGCAGTAGCTTAAGAGTGTTGAACGCAATTCTTCGACAACAAGCATTAAGACAGTACGTGTGTATAATTAGTATAAAAAGATTTAATAGTTTTTTTGGGATTAAAAAAATAATACGAAATTTACGTGTGTTAGGGGTTGCCTTGCCGTTCACCAATCGTTCTTTTTGAACGATACGAAGAATTTAATCGACTTAGGTGGCGGCATCCATGGATGCAGAGGATTCTTTTCTAGCTTTAAAGCTCTTCAAGGTGGAATGTATTTGAACCATGGTAATAAATCTTGGATCTCGATTCGTCTAGCTTCTCGTTTGAGCTTCGTTATTTTTTTTATTTTTATTTCCAATTTGTGCAGATGTATGTATGACCACAATTGTACAATCGGGTTCGGTGGTGGATTTTCTTATTCGCAATCAAAATGTGAAAACTCCGTTCGAAATCGACTGGAATAAGGTAAAAGATTAAAAAAAAAAAAAAAAAAAAAAAAAAAAAAAAAACGATTTTTTCGTACATTTGAAAGCCTTGTTCGTGTAAGTACGATTGATTTAGTATCGTACGGACTCGTATTTTTAGGCTAGAGGGACGCTAAAAAACTTGAGGTTTAAAGTAAATCACTTGAAATTCGAGTTCAAAATCACGGGATTTAGCGACAGGCCTTGCAAAGAACAGAAGTGAGTTCGTCGTGCATTTATTCATTCACCGTCATTTTTACCGTTAATTTCAAGAAATCGAAATAGATTAGTCTTTTTTAATTTTAATTTTTTTTCGTCTTTGTTTCGTAGATTCTCTCTGAAGCTGGGAGAAGCAAACGTTGAGACTACGGTTTACGATTATTTTGTGAAGACGCGTGGAATTAAGCTGAGTTTTAGTGCAAACTTACCATGCATCAACGCTGGGAAGCCTCGTAAACCGAAATTCTTTCCAATAGAGGTGATTATTTTTTATTTATTTTTTTCGTGTTTTTTTCTTTATTAGGAGTAGTGAAGTTTTTGAAACACGAAGCGCTGACTTTCATTTATTTTTCGTTTATCGTTTTATTGCAGCTTTGTTCGTTGGTTCCTTTGCAACGTTACAAGAACGAGTTAACCGGTTATCAAACTTCTGCAATGATTAAAAAATCAAGCCAAAAACCAGAGGAATTGCTTCAGTTTTTGGCTGATGTATGTTCACTTCAAACATATATATATATATATATATATATATATATATATATATATATATATATATATATATATATATATATAATTTTATATAGAGATTAATTAAGCTTAATTGATGTTTTACTATATATAGACTGGGAAAATGATTAAGCATGAGGCTGAACCACTGTTGAAATCTTGTGGCATTTCAATCGACGGCTCGTTTGTTCAAGCTGAAGGCCGTGTTCTTTCAGCCCCACGCGTAAATCTCCGATTCTGATGAATTTTTTTAATACTCACGAGAGAGTTTTTTATTTTTTTATGTATATAATTTTTATTTTTTTTCAATTTGGACTTATTCGATGTTTTCTACAGTTAATAATGGGAAATGGAGAACATATCTTTCCTAGAAATGGCTTCTGGAACATCAAAGATAAGGTGATATATATATATATATATATATATATATATATATATATATATATATATATATATATATATATAATTTATGATTATTTTTCCTTAATTTTATTTAAGTCCTTACTGATTTTAAATATCTCACACAGAAACTTTTGGCGCCAAAAAAACTCGAAAACTGGGCTGTGGTGAACTTCTCAACTAGCTGCGATATACGTAGTACGTGCCTAAAATTGGCGAAAGTGAGCTCGAATTACGGAATGGTGAGATTTAAAGTGAATTTCGCATTAATTAAATATTATATATAAAATGCGTTTTCGTTTGCAGGTAGTAAGTCCTCCGGCATGCGTTATTCAAGAAAATCCCAAGTATAAAAAGAAACCGGCTTCTGTTCGAGTGGAAGTGATGTTCCAACAAATAAAATCGAAATTCCGACAAAATCCACCTCGCTTCATTCTTTGCCTCCTTTCCGATAAGAAATTCTGCGACTTATACGGTCCGTGGAAAAAGAAGACCATTGTAGAATTCGGAATTCTCGATCAATGCGTTTCGAATAATAAAATCGACGAGAAGTATCTCATGAATCTCATGCTCAAGATAAACGCAAAGGTGTTTTTCGATCCCGTTATTTTTTTATTTTTTTAACCATTATTATAACTCACTCATGAAAAAACGTGCTTCGTTTTTGGCAGCTCGGTGGTTTTAATCATACTATTCTTTCGGAAATAACGAGAAGTATCCCATTTGTTAGTAAGATTCCTACAATGATATTTGGAATGGAAGTTTCCCACGCTTCTCCGGGGGCCACGGAGAGACCTTCCATTGCTTCCGTAAGCACTTTTTTTTATTATTATTAAATCTTTTTTTTTATTGATTGTTTTGATTTAATTGTTTTTCCTGCGTTTTTTATTTTTTTTAAGGTTGTCGGATCAAGAGAGTGGCCGAGAATTTCGAGTTATAGAGCGTGCCTTCGTGCACTCCCGCCGAAAGTTAAAATGATTGATTCGCTTTTTAAGCCAATTTCTGAACAAAAAGATGCTGGCATATTCAGGTACGTTCGATATCGATTTCACTTTTTTGATGAATCGAAATTTATTGATCAGAAGTTACATTTTAGAATTTTTACGATGATTTTGTATTCGTAGTGAGTTGCTGTTGGAGTTTTTCGCGAGTTCCGGGAATAAAAAACCAGCTCAAATTATCATATTTAGGTTCGTTTCGTCTTGCCTTATTTAATTTTCAGCTTCGTTTCTGCAAATTCTGTTCTTTCGTGTTTCATCAGTCGAAAGATTTAATGCAAGAAAAAAAAATGTGTTTCGATTTTAATTAGGAATGGATTGAGCACAACAGAGTATAAACAAATTGTGAAGGAAGAAATGGATCAGATACTTAAGGTTTGTGTAGTCGAAAAAATTACATTTGTTTATTATCAAATAAGTCGAATTATAATATATTCCGTCTTTCGGCTTCGTATTATAGGCATGTAATTTTCTCGAGGAGAAATGGCGTCCGAAATTCACAGTGATCGTCTCACAGAGACGACATCACACTAAATTCTTCGATAAATCCAATTCGGGAGCTAATGTTTCTCCAGGTCAGCCCTAAAACATGGATAAATTCAAATCGATGCTCACTCGGGAAACCCGAGCTAACATATTTTCGATTCGGTATTCTTTTTTAACTTACAGGAACTATTGTTGACAACAAAGTTTGTGATCTTCAATGTAATAACTTCTACATGAATGCTCATGCTGCAAGAATAGTAAGTTATTCAAATTCACAATTTATTATTACTAGCAAAAAAAAAAAAAACAAAGCATCATTAGTTGCTGAATTTTTTTACGATTCTTGCGGTTCGATTATTAGGGGACTCCGAGGCCGACACATTACCATGTGCTGTTAGATGAAATAGGTTTCTCGTCGGATGATCTGCAAGAAGTTATTCATTCTTTATCATACGTGTAAGCGATTTAATTAATTTCTATAAATTAATAAACTTATCGAAATTTACATTGAACAAAACTTTTACGTCGTTTCAGTTTCCAGAGAAGCAACAACGCGATTTCCGAAGGTAATGATGCATGTCTAAATACTAGAATGTCAAGAACATGTGTCCGTTTTTTGGTGAAAAATATAATCTGCTCGATTCTTGCAGTTGCTCCAGTTCGCTATGCTCGATTAGCAGCTGCTAAGATATCACAAGTAATTAAAGCTGAGAAAATGACGAACACATCTTGTAACGGTCAAGGGGGTCAACTGCCAAAGCTGCACAAAAATGTGTCTTCTTCGATGTTCTTCATTTGATTTTATTACAACTCGAAACTGTAGCTTTTTTTAAGACTAGTCTACGTACTATGTGCACGAACCGCTTTAATATGTCATGTTTAATACGTCTCGCGAACGATAATGAATTTCCAATGAATTCACGATCCGAATACGATTTCGTTTTCTTTTTGATTTAGCATGTCATGTTGAGCTAATAACAAAGTTCCATAATTTTTTCCCCCTGTTTTCGACGGGTACAATTTAGAATGCCGATGGATTACTTATATATCCAGCATCGAGGGATTCGAGAGAGTTCGTACTATAACCTTCATGTTTGGACGGAAATCGGGTTCGTATTGCAAGCACAACGAAGCAATCGAAGCCATCTGTTTTAACCAAATCGAAGAAAAAAAAAAGTCACAAATTTTTTTTTGCTACTTCATAGACTAATCAGCAAAAAACAACTGATGTGTATATATATATATATATATATATATATATATATATATATATATATATATATATATATATATATATATACCTTCACAACTGCCTTTGGAGGGTAGATTCCATTCAGTCTAGGATCGATACACTGCTTTACCGTTTCTTCCATGAGCTTCGGCGTTGCCTGGTGTTTTATACACGCAAAATGTCGTAATTTTGCTACCCAAAAAGAAAATAAAAAATAAGAAAATAAACTAAAAATATAACATACCCATGTCACAAGAGATTGTTGTCCCCTTGGCCATGTAATATCAAACGGTTTACGCCCCGTCAAGAGTTCCAAGAGTAACACCCCAAAGCTGTACACATCACTGCTCGAGCTTAGTTGCCCCGTCATTGTGTATCTACCACACGAAAAAATATAAAAAATAAATAAAATATCAAGACCAATAAATGAAGTAGAAATTCAAACTACGGAAAACGAGAAGATCGATTCATACTCAGGGGCATCATAACCAAAAGTCCCAATCAATGCATCAGAATCAAGAGCATCCCTGAAAGTCGTTCGACTCGGCAGACCGAAATCAGCGATCTTAGCAAAATCGTAATCATCGAAAACTAAAACATTACTGGAATTAATCGCACAGTGAATTTGCCCCTTGTCGTGAATGTGTTCTAATCCTTTTGCACCCCCAACGGCAATTTTCACTCTTTGGGCCCACGATAGCGCCGGATTATGGTGATACTGACCGTGAAGAATGTCATGCAACGATCCACGTGGATCGAACTCATAAGCCAAGCCTCGTAAACCACCATCCACACAATAACCGAGTAGCTCGACCAAGTTTTCGTGCTTTAGCCTTGATATGATCGAAACCTACAAAACCCCATATATTAAAACACCGTATCTTTATGTAAAGCTATTTATGCTAGTGTTTATGGACAAACCTGAGCTAGAAACTCTTGGTACCGTTGGTTAGTCGAGTCTAACTTTTTAAACTCGACCGCATGCCCTCGTTTCACGACTCCATGATATACTTTTCCGTACGATCCCTTACCAATTAAACACTTCGAATCAAATTTATAGTACTGTTATTTCATTCATCTACTAGAATAGTATACGAAACAACATGTCTTCATGGAAAGCTATAATCTATGCACATATATATATACACATATATATATATGGAAAATTACACTTTTCGTCCCTCAAGTTTATCTTGATTTCACATTTGGTCCTCCATGTTCATAAAAAACACATTTATTCCCTCGTCTTTCAATAATTTAACATTTTTGGTCATTTCCGTTAATTTTCCGTTAGTACTAACGGAATCAAGCATGTGTCCATCACTCTCTTAACTGATAGACTAACGGTAAATTGACGGAAATGACCAAAAGTGTCAAATTGTTGAAACGTGAGGGACTGAATGTGTTTTTTGAACAGTGCAAACTTGAGGATGAAAACTATATATATATATATATATATATATATATATATATATATATATATATATATATATATATATATATATATATATATATATATATATATATATATATATATATATATATATATATATGACTCCATAGTACACCCTTCCGTAGGATCCCTCGCCAATTAAACGCTTCGAACCAAAATTATTGGTAATGCTTTTCAATTCATCTACTGGAATGACGGGAACATCAATCGATAGCATATTAGCAGTCCGTTTCCCCAGTGCTTCTGTGGTACGATATCCTGCGAAATTGCCAAAAACCAAAAACTCTTGCAGTTTATACGTTCGAGACTCAAAATATTAAAAGCCGTATATAAATAATAACGACTCAGCTGTACCGGATGGTTTAACGCGGTTCCAAAACGCATCCCACGCCCAAATACGAGATGGTTTGTGCGTTGCAGCACTAACCACTTTACTGTTGGTTTGCTCTTTCAGTTGGCGTTCAGCGGAACCATCGGTAGAGGCGACTACTGTAAGTTTCTCAGTGCTAACTGACAAGTTATTTTCCTCATCAGATGGTTGGATTTCAGCGACATCACTCGTTATCGGGTTTGGTACTGGAGCTACCGAGCTTTCCTGTTGCTCGAGTGCTAACTCAAGTTGTAGCACAACGTGAGCCATCGTTGGTCGTTTCTTTGGTTCATCGTCCAAGCACCTCTCAGCGACCTCCACAAACACCTTCAGGCTATCGTCTCTGCGATTTCGCTCCTCAAATTCGAAGCTATAATCTGGTTAGCATTTCCATTACTAATGTTTTCTCGAGCCCACTTGGTCAAAATTCGCTCGTTCTCCGCAACCCTTGTCGAATCCACCGCTGCTCTCCCACACAATACTTCCAACAACACCACCCCAAAGGCGTACGTATCGCTTTTCCTAGTCAGTTTGCCGGTAGTGAAATAGTTCGGGTCTAAATACCCAAACGTGCCCTTAACCTTTGTGCTGACATGGCTCTGTAATGATTCGCTTCTGCTTAAATTTTTAGCCAGGCCGAAATCCGAAACCTTAGCTACGAAACTTTCATCCAGAAGGATATTCGAAGCCTTTACATCACGATGTACGAGTGAATGGCCAGTGTGAAGATAGTCCAGCCCTCGACCAGCTCCGATGCATATAGCGAGGCGTTGCTTCCACGTGAGAGAAGGGCAATCGTGTCCTTTCCTCGCAAGTTTGTAGAGATGGTCGCCCAATGTTCCGTATGCCATGTACTCGTAGACAAGAATCATTTCGCCATGCTCGTTACAGTAGCCGATTAGAGCGACTAGATTAACATGTCTCAGCTCGGTCAGTGTTTCGATCTCTGTCAAAAACTCGTGCGCCCCTTGCTTCGAGTTTGATTTCTGTCGCTTTACGGCGACAGTCACTTGGCTATTATCTATGAGACCTTTGTACACTTTACCAAATCCACCCCTACCGATGACGAGCCCGTCACTGAAGTTTCTAGTTGCTAATCGTATCTCAGCTAGTGAAAACCGGCGACAAGTTCGTTTTGCCCTGGCCGATGGATTGTTTTCCTCCTCCGTACCACTACCATCCCAAATTAGTCGCAATGTATACACAATGATGTTTACTGCAACAATTAACGTTATCGCTGCAGTTGCAATCATATTTCCGCGACTAATAACTCGATGCAAATTTTGTCTAGTTCGATATGACGAATCACGTGAACAAGGCAACGGATTCGGACTTGCAAAACTATTGTAAGGGTTGCTCAACTTCATTATTTCAAATCCATCGATGAATTCATCACTTGATCGGAGGCAAATCACGAGGTCGCGTTTACCCTCTTCGTTGTGCACATCCATCATCACCACGTAGTCCCTGTACCATGCGATGCTATTTTTGCTATCGTTTTCTCCGACCATGTCGATATTAGTATCGGCAATCATTTCGTTTATGAGAACTGTAAAATCAACACCGCCAATCTCCGCTAACTTGAATCCTAGCTCGGAGAAATGAAGCCTGACCAAGTACCTGAATCCCACATCCACGGATATTCTCCAGGTGGTATTGTAGATCTTGTTTGCTTTCCGTTTAGTAACCGTTTCCCACATACCGAACATGTCACGATTATCCTGTTTGGTATTTACCCGACGGATAAGTTCGAGTGCAGTTCTGTTATCGACATAGACCAGAGACTTCCCAACCACTTGGACTCCAGTATCTCTTTCTTGAAAGAACGAGAGACTCAGAGGCACCGAGACAATCTCAACACCGTTTACGAAAGCATATGTTTGTATTGATTCACTACGTCGAATTGCAGGAGAGAAAACTACGTCGAATTGTTGAGATTTCTGTATATTTACATAGAACTCCTTAACAAAAGAATTCACACTAAGAACATTAGCAGTAAGAGAAGCACTGAAGTTGCTTAGCAGGGTGAAAGGACCGGCTTCAACATCGAATAAATCCATGAATCTTTCGAAGCCTTTATATAGTGCGGGATTAAAGTGAAGGCGGATAATTTTCTGACCTGGATTCACTTGAAATGCATAGGAGAATCGGGAAAGGGAGAGTCGACCCGTTTTGTAGGGAACGGGATCATCATCATCAGCAGAGATCAACTTACGGACTACAGTCGAGGCGGTTGACGAGCCCGTTATTTTTAGCGTGGAATGTAATTTTGGATGTGAATCTCCATGCCATTCTCTGCCGTCTTGTGCTGCTGAGGTGGCACTCGAGCCACAACTAACTGAAACATCACCTGTGGAATAAGTTGGATTGTTAGTAGAGAGGAAGAACATAAATAGAAAGAGAATCTGCAGATTCATTGTTCGAGCTCTGCTTTATTGCGAAGCCGGACGAAGAATGATCGGTGATATTTGATACTTTTCTTATGCCAAATTTTGTGTGAAAGCAACAAAATAATTAAGATAAAAAAAACAGTTGACCTGACTTTGTTTCCATTATTGTTGGATGATTGTATATTGGTCAAGAGTTTTTGTTTAAAATATGTGGAACAAAAGACAAACTGATTTTCCTCGCAAGTTTCAAGAAATTTCCAAGAAGTGTTGATAACATATTTACAGAGCTGACATATCTGAATGCCGATGAAACGGTCAAGTCTCCGAATTCGGGTCTACAAGGCTTTGTCTCCGGTTATTATTCGAATGTTGATAAATATCACCTTTTTTTATCAATCGTGGCCCGAAATTGTTCATCATCCCAAAGTAAATTAGACCCCACAACTCGTACAATCCAGATTAATCACTACAAATGAAGAAAGTAAAATCAATGAATACAGAACACAGATATTCTAATGTCAAACCTTACATTAGAAACGCCTTTTTTTCTACTCCAACGACGAACGCATCTCGTAATGGTCAAGGGGGTCAACTGCCAAAGCTGCACAAATTAATATGTGCCATCTGTTTCAATCAAATCATTGAAAAAAACAAGCGGTCACAATTCAAGGGTGCAAAGTGTAATTACGCCGACATCAGCACATGTGTATATAATGTATTATCAGCAGATTTATGGAAAACCCATCTTTTATTCACAAAGGACATTCTTCGGTATTGTTATAGTCCCGAGTTTACAAAAATAAAAAGGCCAATAATCAGATCTCTGTGATTGGTATTAATATGTTTACAAAATTAAAAGATAAAGAAAATAAAACAAAAATACTACTATTTATAATACTGAGCTCGAGCTTTTGCTGAGCGGGCTGTCCCTACAAATTAAGCAACTACGTTACATAGTATTGTGCATATATAGGGTGTGAATATATCGTTTATTTACGTCGGGGTGTAGAAGAACGGTGAATCCTTCACAGAGAACTTTTACGGGCCTGGCGGAGATCGAGCATTCAACAGAGGCTGGAGAGCTTTCACTACAATGCTCATGTTTGGACGGTAACTGTGTTCGTATTGCACACACAAGTCAGCAACTGCCGCCATCTGTTTGCAGCAAATTATCATCATCATCAAAAAAACTAAAAACATAATCATGATTCATGTACATGTAATTCAGTTTATAACATAGACTAAATATTACCTTTGCAACTGCCTTAGGCGGGTAGTTTCCGCTCAGTCTAGGATCAACACACTGCTTTACCTCGTTTTCCCCGAGCTTTGGCGTTGCCTGGTGTTTATTTACAGCAAAAAAAAAAGTTTACCCATTGTTTTTCAACGGAAAAAAAAGAAAATATATATATATACCCATGTCACAAGATACTGCTGTCCACTTGGTTGTGTATGATCAATTGGTTTACGACCCGTCAAGAGTTCCAACAGTACCACTGGTACGCCAAAGCTGTACACATCACCCATCGAGGTTCGTTCATATCTACCACCATAAACAAAACTATTCAGTCCCAATTAAAGAAAAAACATGCAATTTATAAAACTAGTTGTTCTGTTTATCTCCAGGAAATGACGAAGAAAGGAGGAGCATACCTAGTCAGAGGAGGGCGATTAGAACTCGGATAGACGGTGTGAGAAAATGGATATGTAATATCATGTGCTCGATTTGACAGGCTAAAATCAGCAATCTTGGCGACATCATAATCATCATAAAGCAACACATTGCTGGATTTGATGTCACCGTGAAATTGTCCATTCTCGTGAATGTATTCTAATCCTTTCGCAACCCCAAGAGCAATTTTAACTCTTTGGGCCCACGACAGAACCAGAACTGCCCCTCCTAAGACTTTGCCACCTATTTTTCCTGCGTCGAATGATTAGATTGATGAGTTGCATGTGAAAGAATATATGTAAGCATTCAAATACGAGGGAACTTGTCATAAACTGAGTCAAACTTGTGTACAATCACATTCAGAAACCAAACATTATAATTCCATAACAACTAAATAACTTCTTCTAAACAATTGGTTAAAAATCGAACTCACCATGAAGAATCTCATATAGGGATCCATGCGGACTAAACTCATAAGCCAAGACTTGTAAAGAATCATCGGCACAGTAACCAAGTAGCTCAACCATGTTTTCATGCTTTACGCTGGATATCGTTGAAACCTGCAAAAACTATTTTTTTAACGAAAACGTATACCGATGGAAAAGTTATAACCTATGGACATAGTGTTAGTGCCAAACCTGTGTTAGAAATTCTTGGTCCGACTGCTTTCTAGAGTCGAGTGCTTTAAATACAGCATCCTGTCCATTTCTCATGACTCCCCAGTATAGCCCAAAGGATAAGTGACCAGTTAAACACTTCAAACCGAAAATGTCGGTGACGTTCTTTAATTCATCTACTGGAATGGGCGGGACAACATGACAGCATAACAACAGCCCGTGTGTCCTCTAATTCATCTAATGCCATGTCAGCGGCAGCAGTTGGTAGAATAATCATAGTATGTTTGTCCTCCGACACATCTACTTGAGTGGGAGGGACAACAGTCGGCTGCATATTAACTGTCTGTTTGCCCTTCTCCACTGATTCTGCGTAAACCACGAGAGTTTGAGCATAAAAATATAAAAAAGGATATATTTTTTATTTTATTGTTGCCGTATAAATTAGCAAGGGATGATAAAGATTGATCCTTACCTGATGGCTTAAGGTTCCAAAATGCACCCCACTGCCAAAAACGCGACTGTTTACGTGGTGCGGATTTCCTCCCATCTTTTCTTCCGGATGAGGGCTCATCATTAATAACTTTACTATCTGTTTGTTCTTTCAGAGGCAGTGCAAGATTCTGCACATCTGTGGAGGCAATTGTGAGTTTCCCAGTGCTCACTGATAAATCAGTTTTGACATCAGATACATGGGAATCATCCACATCACTTGTTATCCCATCAGGTACCGGCGATTTCGAGATCTCCTGTTGCTCAAGTGCAAACTCAAGTTGTATCACAACTTGAGCCATTGTTAGCCGTTTCCTTGGTTCATCATGCAAGCAACTTTCAGCAACCCCCACAAACGCCTTCAAGCTATTTTCTGAGATTTCGCCCCTCAGATTTGAAGCTATAATCTGGTCAGCATTTCCATCACTAATCTTTTCTCGAGCCCACTTAGTCAGTATTCGCTCATCCTCAGCAGCCCTTGGATCCACTGCGGGTCTACCACTCAATACTTCAAGCAACATCACCCCAAAGGCATACGTATCACTTTTCATGGTCAGTTTACCCGTACTAAAATAATTCGGGTCGAAATACCCAAACGTGCCCTTCACTTTCGTGCTGACGTGACTCTGTTGCAACTTACTTGTGCTTGAATATTTAGCCAGGCCAAAATCGGACACCTTAGCTACGAAGTTTTCGTCAAGAAGGATATTTGAAGCCTTCACATCACGATGTATGAGTGAGTTGCCAGTGTGAAGATAGTCTAGCCCTCGACCAGCTCCAATGCATATAGTAAGGCGTTGCTTCCACGTGAGAGAAAGACGGTTTTTGCCCTTCCTTGACATTTTGTAGAGATGGTCAGCTAGTGTACCACATGCCATGTACTCATAAACAAGAATCATTTCACCATGCTCGTTGCAGTACCCAATTAGAGAGACTAGATTAACATGTCTTAGCTCGGTTAGTGTTTCAATCTCTGTCAAAAACTCACGTGCCCCTTGATGGGATTCTAATTTTTGCCGCTTTATTGCGACAGTCTTTCTCCCATTATCAATGAGGCCTTTGTAAACTCTACCAAATCCACCTCTTCCAATGAGATGCGATTCGCTGAAATCTTCAGTTGCTAACTGTAATTCGTCTAGTGAAAACCGGCGACATAGTTGGTTTGCCCTGGCTGATGGCATGTTTTCCTTCTCCTCTATACCACGAGATTCCCAGATTTGTCGAGATATATACAGAATGATGTTTACTGCAACAAGTAATGTTATTGCTGCAGTTGCAACCATATTTCTGCCACCAAGAACTTTGTGCAAATTTTGTCTAGTCCGGTACGATGACTCATGTGAAGAAGGCACGGGATTTGGACTGGCAAGACTATTATCGGGGTTGCTCAACTTCATTATTTCAAATCCTTTAACGGGCCCATGTCCATCCATGAATTCATCATCGGATTGGAGGCAAATCACGAGATCTCGTTTACCGTCTTCTTTGTGCCCTTTCATCATCACCATGTAATCCCTAAACCAGGAGAGGATGCTATGTTCATCATCCTTTTCCCTGACCATGTCAATATTAATATCGATAATCATTTCATTAATCCGAAGTGTAAAATTAACACCACCAATCTTGGCTATCTTAAATCCTAGCTCGGAGAAATGAAGCCTGACCAAGTACTTGAATCCCACACCCACAGATATTTTCCAGGTAATATTGTTGGTCTTGCTTGCTTTCCGCTTAGTACCACCAGACATTAAAAGAATTATGTCATGACCACTACCAGATGACAAAACAGAATCATGTTTCACATTTACCCTGTCGATTATTTCAAGTGCAATGTTGTTATCAACATAGACAAGAGACTTGCCAATAACTTGGACTCCAAAATCTCCTTTGTGAAAGTAAGAAAGACTGGGAGGAACTGAGATAATCTCGATTCCATTTATGAAAGCGTATGTGCCCAACGATTCACTACTTGAAGAAGAGAAAACAATAACCAATTGTTCATTTTCTTCTACATCTAAACAGAACTCCTTAACAAAAGAATTCACACCAAGAGCATTAGCAGTAAGAGAAGCACTAAAGTTTCGTAGCAGGGTGAAAGGACCTGCTTCAACATCGAACAAGTCGTTCAACATTTTGAAGCCTTTATATGGAGCTGGATTGAAGTGAAGGCGGATAATTTTCTGACCTGGATTCACTTGAAATGTATAGGAGAATCGGGAACGAGAGAGTCGACCCGTTTTGTAGGGAACTGGATCATCGGCATAAATCACAGTTGAGGCAACCGATGAGCCCTTTATTTGCAGCAACGGAAATAATTTCGGGTGTAAATCTCCAAGCCATTCCCGACCTTCTTGTGCTGCTGAGGTGGCACTCGAGCCACAATTAACTGAAACGTCTCCTGTGGAGTGAGTTGGATTACAACTAGAGGCTGTGATTGTGTTCAACAAGCAGACAAATAGCAAGAGAACCGAATACGGACACGGGTTCATGCTTTTGAGCTTTGCTCTGCTGCGAAGCAGAAGAATGATATATGCAAATAACTTTGTTATCCCAAGGTTACATCCCTTAAAACAACAATTAAATTAAAAGAAATAAAAAAACCTTGATTTCATGTTCAATCTCTTACCAAGTTGTGGTATCATGTATGTATGACCATTCTATACTTAATTCCCAATGGTTGCTGTTTACACTCATTGGTCAGAGTTTTGTTTAAGAGGAGGGCCCTCTTAAAATATGTGGAAGAGAGCAAATTGTACATAAAATACAGGATATTTTTTGAAGTATCAACATAATTGACCAGATATTTCCAGGAAATGCCGACAATCCATGACCTAAATCTCGCACAATCCAGACTAATCACGATTAATCAAAAAACTAAAACCAATCAATTAATACATAATACAAATTACAAAATATAAAGTGAAGGCAAACCGAAATTAGAAATGCCTTCTTCTACTCCGCCGCGGCCTCGCCGGCGCGCCGCCGCCTCCAACTATCCGGGCGGCAGATAATAGAGGCTGCTCATATCATATAGCCATTTCACCTTCGCCCTCATAGCACTATCCTCTTTCGCGACGCTAATGAGCTTCATCGGGCCGACGAAAATTCTCTGGAACAAATTCTGAGCCTTGTTCTCCGCCGCCATATTTGAAAACCGGAGCTCAAATATCTTCATCTCTTTGTTGTTATTATGAGCAAATTACGGCCACCCCTAGTTATAGTTAATTATGAAAAACTCCATCTTGTTTCAGTAATTACAGCCACTCCCCCTTAACTATGTACTATCTTAAAAAAAGACCACTCTAGAGGTAAATAAAATCGGTACGCCAACATTTTATATTGTTTACCGAACTAAATATACAATTTGGTTCGGTAAATAACCAAATTACATAAATTTTATGTAAACATATTTAAAAGAAGGGGTGGTTGTAATTGTCTAAACAAGATGATTTTTTTTGTAATTAGTCATACCTCAAGGTGATCGTAATTTGCCCTTATTATTATTATTATTATTATTATTATTATTATTATTATTATTATTATTATTATTATTATTATTATTATGTTTTCTATTTAATTTTATAACTTTGGTGACCGTAATTTGAATTAATTATGACTTTTTCAACTGTTAAAATTCTTATTAAAAACACCTTTAGATTACGAAAGGGAAAATAGTTGTCATTTTTTGGGCTAATTACATCCACCTCCCTTAAGTAAATACTATTTACAAAAAAAAAAAAATCTAATGTTTAAGGAATTACATTCAGTTCTGTATGTTTTGTGAATTTCTTACATTCACTCCTACATAAGGGAGTCAATGTAAGAAAGCCTACAAATTACAGGAAGTAGATATAATTATGAAAAACTAAAGGGTTGTTTTATAAATAGACCTTATCTCAGAGGTGGCTGTGGTATTCAAATTAAAAGTAAGATCGAATTATTATTAAAATATAAAACATTTAAAAGTACTGTGATAGGATTAAAAAAAAATAGTAATTTCAATGAAAAATGCTTCATTAATATCTGAAAAAATCTAATAGTTAACAAATTAAAAATAGGCTACGGCTATATGCAATACTTGTACCAAAAGGCGAAATCCCTCGCCCCCAGTACAAGTATTGCATATAGTGCAAGACCAAATTAAAGAAAAATTCTAAAAGATTCCATTTTATTAAGATGAAATGACAAATATATCCATAAATTAAATTAGCTTTTGTTTGCTCATACAAGACCAAATAACAAGTAATGAGAAAAAAAAACAAAAAAACAAAAAAGAAGAAAACAAAGAAAACGTGAAATTAAAAAAACCCAGCACCATCCCCCCCTCTCCCGAAACCCTACCATACGCCGCTCTTGATGCGACGTTCTTGATGTCTTGTACATATTTTTGAAACCTTAGATGAATTTGGACAATAAACTGCGTCTTCGTATTCGCATTTTACTATAAAAAATAAATGAATATTGAAATAAAATGTAATTGGAAAATATAGAAAGTTAAAAAAAAAATATGAAACAACAAAAATTCGACATTAATGTATCGAATATATGTCCATAAATTCGACACCTTAATGTCGAAAATTAGTATATTTGGACTAATTTGCTAACAGTTAAATTTCGACACTAAGGTGTCGATTTTGTACTCCAAAATCGACATCTCAATGTTATTTTTTACCTATAAAATTCGACATGTACATGTCGACCGCGTCTGCGCGGATTTTTTTTTTTAATGTGAAACAACTGAATTTCGACATTAAGGTGTCGAATATATATCCATAAATTCGACACATTAATGTCGAAATTTAGTATGTTTGAACTAATTCTAATTTGTTAACAGTTAAATTTCGACACTAAGGTGTCAAGATGTCGATTTGTACCTATAAAACTCGACCTGTACATGTCGACTGCGTCTGCGTGGGATTTTTTTGGAAAAAACGATATTCTAGCTAAAAAATACATAAATGCATACCTTCTTGGGTTCTCTCACCGTAGAATCTTCTATTTTGATGTCTTCTGACTTTATATTTGTCATCTTTGTAAGATTTATTGAGTTTTGATGATTTTGAATGTTTATGTTTTGTGCGTTTATGGAGGAGGAAGAAGAAATGTTTTGTAGGTTTTGGAAGATGGAGAAGATGAGAGTTGGTCATGTGATTTTGTGATAGAGTTTTTTGTGTTTTTGAGTTTTTAGTACTGCACATTTGGAATTTTCTATTTTTCTAACAAGGGTATTATAGTATTTATACATTGAAAATTTTAAGTTGGTTTTGCATAAATGAATTTAGTCTTGCATATAGCCGCAACCTTAAAATATAAATCTTTGAAAATGATTACATATGTAGCACGGACACGAAAATGATACGAGAAAACGGGAAAACGACATGTCTCAAAAAGGGAGATACGAGAACTTGGGGAAACGTATAAATATTAAAAGTATAGGGATATATTTATAAATTATAAATATCCTATATAAACATATATAAATTTTTATTTACAGATGTAATTCTTTTTATATATTTCCATACAAATATATTCAAAGTTAATGCTACAATCAACTATAAATTTACAATTGATCATTAAATCGATCATGTAATTAATTAGATAAGCAACAAAAATATTTAAAAACTTGTTATTTACACATGTCTCATTTGTTTTAGAAATTACAAAATGACCCTTAAGGTGTCCGAGTCCGACAGGTGTCCTCGAGTTTCGAACACAAAACGTAGATACGTTAACAGGTTCAAAGTTTCCGTGCTACATAGATGACATTGTTGAATATTCTATAAAACCAAGCTTGTATATCCTATATCCTCGTATCAAAAAAAAAAAAAAAAGTCATAAATCCAAATAACCTAATTACACAATATTAAAGGGTTAATAATATCAAATTAAACAAGGAACTAATTTTGAACACCATTGAGTTTAGATTTGAGCATTCAACAGATGCTGGAGAGCTTGCACTACAATGCTCATTTTTGGACGATAATACTCGTTATAGTGCACACACGAGGCAGCAATGGCAGCCAACTGTTTGAAGCAAAACATCGAAAGAAATGATCATGCGCATACATGCAATTCAGTTTAAAACAAAGACGATTTAATCAGCGAAAACAAACTGATCAAATACCTCTGCAACTGCCTTCAGAGGGTAGTCCCCGTTCAGTCTAGGATCGACACACCGCTGTACCTGTTCTTCTACCAGGGGCTTTGGCGTTGCCTCGTGCTTTATTATTATATAGGGAAAAAATATATTAGTTCATCACTCGGGAAAATTAAAATTTAGCTAGGAAAATTGCATTACCCATGTCACAATTAGAGACGTATATGAATGATCGATTGGTTTACGGCCTGTCAAGAGTTCCAGAAGAACCACACCGAAGCTGTACACATCACTCATAATGCTTAGACGGCCATTCATTGTGTATCTGCCACAAAAAAATAAAAATAATTCAAGCCCTGTTAAAGTACAAATTAAAATTACTTTAATTACGTTCAAGCCCAGGAAAGACTCGGAAAGGAGTATACCGGGCCTCATGGGAGAAATAAGGACCATAGGACCTCAGGTGGACAGCGGAATATGTCCTTTCATGGGCTCGGTTTGACAGACCAAAACCATCAATCTTAGCAACATCATAATCATCAAAAAGTAAAATATTGCTGGAGCTGATGCCACCATGAAATTGCCGCCATGAATCCTTGTGTATGTGTTCTAATCCTTTTGCAGCCCCAACAGCAATTTTAACTCTTTGGGTCCATGACAAAACCACCGAGCCTTTGACCTTTTCTTGTCCTGTGTCGAACGAGTAAATTAAAAAGCAGTGACATACTTGAGCTCTATACACAACAAGAAGCTATTTTGAGCGAACAACTTCTTGTGAACAATTGCTTGTTAAAAGGCGTAAGCCAATTGCGTTTGAACCAAGAGCAATACGAACGAACTTACCATGAAGAATCTCATGTAGGGATCCATGTTGAGTAAACTCATAAGCCAAGACTTGCAAACCACCATCCACACAATAACCAAGTAGCTCAACCACGTTTTTGTGCTTTACGCTGTAAATCTTTGAAACCTGCAAAACCCATAATTAACCAACCTATCTTCATGAAGTTATAACCGATGCAAATTTACCAATGGAGATAGTGTTAGTGCCAAACCTCTGCTAGAAATATTTGATTTGTCTGCTTTCTGGAGTCTAGCTTTTTAAATGCTGCATCCTGTCCATTTTTCATCACTCCACGGTATACCTCTCCATAGGATCCTACACCGACTAAACACTGTGAACCAAAAGTATCGGTGATGTTCTTTAATTCGTCAACTGGAATGGCAGGGACATCAATCGGCAGCATATTAATAGTCTGTTTATCCAGTAATTCATCTCCTGGAATGGTAATCGGCAACATATTAACAGTCTGTTTATCCACTAATTCATCACCTGGAATGGCAGGGGCAACAACCGGCAGCATATTAACAGTCTTTTTATCCACTAATTCATCTCCTGGAATGGCAGGGGCAACAACCGGCAGCATATTAACAGTCTTTTTATCCACTAATTCATCTCCTGGAATGGCAGGGGCAACAACCGGCAGCATATTAACAGTCTCTTTATCGTCTAATTCATCTACTGGAATGCTGGGGACAACAATCGGCAGCATATTAACAATCTGTTGGCTCTTATCCGCTGCTTCTGCCGCACGAAACTCTGTGGAATTGCTTAAAATAGAACTTCAATAAGTTTTAGTAAACCATGAAAGTTTGAGCATAAAAAAATGAACAGGATTTTCTTTTTATTGTTCCCATTTGAATTAGCAAGTGATAGAAACAATTATTTTTTACCAGATGGTTTAACTAGGTTCCAAAATGCATCCCATAGCGAAAATCGTGACGGTTTACTAATCGTGTCCTCTTCTTTTCTTCCAGGTGGTGTCTCAGCATTAACAACTTTGCTATTAGATCGCTCTTTCGGAGGAGACGGTGAAGGATTATGCACATCAGAAGAGGCAATTGTCATTTCCCCAGTACTAACCGAGAAGTTAGTTTTGTCATCAGAATGATGGCAATCATCCACCTTACTTGTTATCCCGTTTGACACAACACATTTTAACCTCCCCTGCTGCTCAAGTGCAAACTCAAGTTGAAACACAACTTGAGCCATTGTTGGCCGTTTCTTTGGTTCATCATGCAAGCACCTTTCAGCAACCTCCACAAACGCCTTCAGGCTATCGTCTGTGATTTCACCCCTCAAATTTGAAGCTATAATCTGGTACAGATTTCCATTACTAATGTTTTCTCGAGCCCACTTGGTCAAAACCTGCTCATCCTCAGCAGCTCTTGGATCCATCGCCGATCTACCACTCAATACTTCCAACAACATCACCCCAAAGGCATATATATCACTTTTAATGGTCAGTTTACCGGTATTAACATAATTCGGGTCGAAATACCCAAATGTGCCCTTAACTTTTGTGCTAACATGACTCTGTTGTAACTTACTTGAGCTTAAATATTTAGCCAGGCCAAAATCTGACACCTTAGCTACGAAATTTTCATCCAGAAGGATATTTGAAGCCTTTACATCACGATGAATGAGTGAGTGGCCAGTGTGAAGATAGTCTAACCCTCGACCAGCTCCAATGCATATAGTAAGGCGTTGCTTCCACGTGAGAGAAGTACGGTCTTCGCCCTTCCTAGAACGTTTGTACAGATGGTCAGCCAGCGTTCCATACGCCATGTACTCATAGACGAGAATCATTTCACCATGCTCATTACAGTACCCAATTAGAGAGACCAAGTTAATATGTCTTAGCTCGGTTAGTGTTTCAATTTCTGTCAAAAACTCCCGCGACCCTTGATGGGATTCTAATTTTTGTCGCTTTAAGGCGACAGTCTTTCTCCCATTATCAATGAGGCCTTTGTAAACTCTACCAAATCCACCTCTTCCAATGAGATGCGATTCACTGAAATCTTCAGTTGCTAACTGCAATTCGTCTAGCAAAAACCGGCGACAAAGTCGTTTTGCCCTTGCTGATGGCTTATTTTCCTCCTCTTTATCACTAGTTTCCAAAATTTGTCGCAATGTATTTACAAAGATGTTTACTGAAGCAAGTAATGTGATTGCAAAAGTTGCAATCAAGTTTCTATGACCAAGAAGTCGGTGTAACTTTTGGAAAGTCTTATATGTTGAATCAGCTGAAGAAGGCAAGTGATTTGGACTGGCAAGACTATTGTGGGGGTTGCTCAACTTCGTTATTTCAAATCCTCTAATGGGTCCATGCCCATTCATGAATTCATCACTGGATTGGAGGCAAATAACGAGATCTCGTTTACCGTCTTCTTTGTGCCCTTTCATCATCACCATGTAGTCCCTAAACCTGGAGAGAATGCTATATTCATCATCATTTTCCTTGACCATGTCAATATTAATATCGGCAATCATTTCGTTTATGCGAACTGTAAAATAGACACCACCAATCTTGGCTATCTTGAATCCTAGCTCGGAGAAATGAAGCCTAACCAAGTACTTGAATCCCACATCCACAGATATTTTCCATCTTATATCATTGATCTTCCTTGCTTTCCGCTCGGTACCACCAGACATTAATAGAATCATGTCATGAACACGACCAGAAGACAAAACAGAATCATATTTAACATTTACCCTGTCGATTATTTCAAGTGCATGCATGTTGTCAACATAGAGCAGAGACCTACTAATCACTTGGACTCCAATATCTCCTTTGTGAAAGTAAGAAAGAGCAAGAGGAACTGAGATAATCTCGATACCATTTATGAAAGCATACGTGCCCAATGATTCACTACTTGAAGAAGAGAAAACAATACTCAATTTCTCATTTTCTTTTATATCTAAACAGAACTCCTTAACAAAAGAACTCACACCAAGAGAATTAGCAGTAAGAGAAGCACTAAAGTTTTGTAGCAGGGTGAAAGAACCGGCTTCAACATCGAATAAGTCTTTTAACCTTTTGAAGCCTTTATATGGAGCTGGATTAAAGTGAAGGCGGATAATTTTCTGACCTGGATTCACTTGAAATACATAGGAGAATCGGGAACTGGAGAGTCGACCCGTTTTGTAGGGAACCGGATCATCGGCAGAAATCCACTTATGTATCACACTTGAGGCAACGGATGAGCCCTTTATTTGTAGCAAAGAAGATAATTTCGGGTGTAAATCTCCAAGCCATTCCCGACCTTCTTGTGCTGCTAAGGCGGCACTTGAACCACAATTAACTGAAACATCTCCTGTGGAGTGAATTGGATTACTACTAGAGACTGCGAGTGTGTTGAGCAAGCAGATAAATAGCAAGAGAACCAAAGATGGACAGAGGTTCATACTTTGAGCTTTGCTCTGTTGTGAACCAGAAGAATGTTCTGAAATAGAATTAAAAGAAGAAACAAAAAATCTGAATTTTTTCTTTCAAAGTTTGCCCTTTATACTGGTCAGAGATTTTGTCTAAGAGGGCCCTCTTAAAAATATGTGGTTATAGAAAAGATTATAGAAGGCTTGAACATTAAGGACAAACTTATATTACTCGAAATGGTCAGCAGTTTCCACGAAATGTTGAGAGCTCACGCGGAAGTTTCTTGAATGGCAAAGCAAATAGTTATAGGACTGATGCTGAAAATGGGATATATATTTAAAAATGATGACGATATTTTACCCGAACTCATATATTTAATTTGTTTATCATGCACAAAGAATTACTGTCTCTCTTGTACTTATAACTCTAAAAGATTGTAATAGCTGCTACAAATGTATTGAGTAAGCAGAGAAATAGAAAGAGAATCGGAAATGGACACGGATTCATACTTCGAACGGTTGTAACCAGAAGAATGGAGTTGACCCAACTCGTGTCTTCTTATCAAGTTATGGTTGAGCCATTTAATATTACAATGTTGACAATTTCAACTCTGTAGTATTTCACTATACTACAAGAAATGATTTTAAGTAGAGATATTTTTTTAGTTATCTCCACAGCCATAATATTCTTTTAGTATGCAAGATAAGAAAGAAACTGTATGTTCTGCTCAGTATAAATGAGATATTATGGTAATATTTCACAATTAGCTAAGATTAAGAGCTTTTAACATGGAGATTAATCCTCTGCTAATCAGTGACTGATTACGAAAATTGTTCATCGTCCTAATGTATTCGGATCCCCAATTTCACATAATCCAGATTAATCACTATCAATAAGGAAACTAAAATCAATTAATACATAAATATCAACTAAAGGAGCAAACCTAATCGAGATGCCTGGTTTTGCTACTCCGCCGTGGACTCTTCAGGCGCCGCCTCATACGGTGGGAGATTTGCTCGAATAGCCCTAACATCTTCCCCAACGCGAATGAGCTTCATCGGGCAAACAAAAGCTCTCTGAACCAAATTGTGAGCCCTAATCTCCGTCGCCATATTCGAAAACGCAAACAAACTTTTCTGGATATTTTGTTCAGATTACAATAATTTTGATCTCATCAAAAAAAAAAAAAATTGAAAGTAAAAATTGTAACACATACAATTAGGAATTAAATACTCGCTCATTTCCATTAACGTTTCATACTTGAAGGTGATTAGTACTTAGGAGAGTGCTTATAAGCTGTTAAAAACATTTTATAAAATGTTTAAGAGCTTATAAGTTCTTTTAAAGTATTTGTTAATTTCTCAAAAAATAAAAAATAAGCTGGAGAGCTTTCACAATTTAAAAAAAAAAAAAATTTAAATCCACTATTTTATTTAAGATCTAAAAATAGATTATAAGCTCGTTATTCAATAAAAATATTTTTTTTAAACTCGTTATTCAATAAAAAATATTTTTTTTAAAAATAAGACGTATCAGCTTATCAAATCTTAAAACATCTCACAAGATATAAAATCTTATTAGTTGTTAAAATAAACTTAGCCAAACGGGTTATAAACGTAACGATAATTTATCTAAAAAAGATAATTTATCATGTGGTGTTAGATGAAATAGGTTTCTCGTCGGTGTTGGATCATTAATCCAACGTTGGACTTATATGTGAAATATTATGTGTTGCAAGACTGTCACGTAAAGTTAAGCCCGTTAAAGTGATCGACTAAGGTTTATCTGGATTGGGCTTTAATGTGTCTAATAGGGTGTGGGCCTTTAATGTGTAAAGACATTAGGGTAATTTTATTATAGTGATGGGCTAAAATAAAATTACACAAGATAGCCCATTAGGTTATCTATATATATTGGTCATGGTCCCCGGATCACATGTACGAATTCCATTCTCTATGTATTCCATCGACATAAAGAAAACGAAGAGAAGTCTAAAGGGTTCTCGGGTTCGGATGTACATGATGATCTGGAAGATCCATGATTGTTTCATATCAATTCCACCGGAGTAAGGTACGCTTCCGATTTATATTTATGCACAATATTCTTGATGATTCGGCATGACGGTTCCATGGGATTTATTCAAGTTTATTCCAACAAGTGGTATCAGAGCCGACCATGTTCGAATCATCTAGATTTTTCTTACTTATTTTGATTGATTCTCTGTGTCATGAAATTGATTTTCATGGATTAAGTTTATTTGATAATTTGTGAATTCCCAATGATTTACTGATTAGGTTCAATCAGTTGGGATGAATTGAAATAAGGTTCCTTGATTCAATTAATTCATATGAAGGTTTAAGGTTAATCAACAAATCTGAAATTCTATTAAGTTTGGCGGTCGGTCAGCCTTCACGACTGTAATGCCCTTAAAGGGCCACTACTCCACCATTCAACAAAAAAAAAAAAAAAAATAAAAGGTCAGCGGTATGGCGGAGAAATCCGGGAAACGGCCGCGCGTATCTTTCCTCCTCAAAGGTCGACGGTAATGGGCTGTAGCTCAATTACCGTCAATTACGGGTGGTGTGGGAGATTGGATAACAGGTGGTGGTGGCGGTTGACATTAAGAAAGGTCGTGGTAGCGGCTGATTAGGTTGAATAAGGACATTAAGGTTTTGATTTTTTGACTAATGTTTTGCGAAATTACAATTTAACCCCAGATTTAGGGTTTCTGTAATTTCAAATTTGGTCCCCTAATTTAAGTTTGAGATATTTAGCATTATTTCAATTTGGCCCATATTTTGGTTATTCCTGATTTTTGAGCCGGGGTCGATTTGAAATAATGAAAAATCCGTATTATAGCCTCAGGCTTTCGAAAACTGCATTTCAGTCCCCGTTTTTTCAAGTCTCTCAAAACAGTGATATACATTCAGAAAATACAGTTTAACCCCCAAAAATTAAGTATTTCTGAATCTTAGGACCCTTTTCACTCAAAGGCTTTTCTTTCAAAATTTATATTCAGTCCTTCAAGTTTTTTTTGGATTTTCTGAATTTGGGGCAAATGCAATATTTTTGAAGGAATGAAAAATTGATTTTAAGTTTTTTTACAAAAAGGTTTTGGGGCCACTTGAAATTTATGTTTTATGAAGAATCAAACGAATAAGTGAATTATTTTTTAATTCTCTTTAAGAACTTGTTTGGTCAATAAAGTGAGATTCAGTTTGAATTTCAATTTAGTTTCCTGAGGGATTTTATTTTGGGGAATTTCAGATTTCTAAAGTTCGGGTCTTTTAGGATTGAAATTTTGGATTAATTAGTCAAATTATGGATATGAATTATTATAATTCAATTGGTTTTGACTCATTGAAGTTTCGTTTGTTTGTCAATATATGTATGAGTTATCATGTATAACTCAATAAGCTTTGACCCAATCGATATTTGACTCGTAGACTCGTGACTTTATTATAAATTTGAGTCTTCATTGTTTTGTGAAAATTCATAAGAATTTAGATTTATTTGTCAGAAATTTATTGTTGGCTTTAAATCTAATAAGGTTGAATTTGTGAGCTCATTTTTTTTTACTTTAAGCTCAAATACAAATAAATATGAATTTTATGATTTATGGTTTAGGCTCATCTTTGGGTTATAAAGTGAAGATTTCTAGTTGACTTTATTTTGACTTTAAATCTAAATAACGTGGGATTTGGGTTCATAAGGTAATTTAATTAGGCCTCTGACTAAAGATTGTTTGAGAAAGTCTAAAGGCTTAAATTCAGTTAAAATTTAAATATTGGTTTGGTTTATGTATTTTGATATGAATTAAGAGAAGCAGCATCTCGCCTAAGTGAGCTCTCCTGTGAAACTTAATTTATTTTAAAATACAAAAGGTTTTGTGCATGTAATAATGTGGGTATTGTGTCGGCCCTAAGGAAGGCCAATACTTTGCTGAATTGCATGTGCATATTGTGGTGGTAAACGCGTGGCGATTATTTGGTGTTTTGCATGTGAATAATAGTTTGGCCCTAAGGTAGAATTATTATTTGATGTGCTCTTATTGTCAGTGTTTGATTACTACACCAAGATATCACTTACAAGTTAATATCATTGTCCAAAGATAAGTTATTAATGGAGTGCCCGATATCTTGAGATGGAATATACCTTTATTTGAATTTTGTGGTTGATATATAATAAATATGTGACGGTTATTAGAATTTCATGCGAACTGTAAATTGGCCCTAAGGTAGATTTATTGTTTGACACGATAGTTTACCGTCAATATTTATTTATAAAAAGTTGCCGCTTAAAAAGTTAACGAGTCGTCCATAACTTCATGTTAACATTGGGCTAGGTATTTTATGATAAATGAACCCATTTCCGTTTAATTATGTCATACATACATAGATTCTATTTGATATTTTTTATGACATAATAGTAGTTGTGAGCATGTCTTCTTGTTTATGTTCTCTATTTAGTTCATGCTTTCGCTTCTGTATTATCTATCAATGTTAATTTTGGTTCTTGTGCTTTATAGCACAATTTACTTATTATTTAGGGTGCACATATCTTCATTCTATCTTTTAAATAGAACGAACAACTAGTTTTTTTCGGAATTAAAAGTTTCCTTAAGGTTAAGGTAAAAGGGACTTAAAGAATGTGATCGTTCTAATTATAAGTATTAAGATCATTTGGTGCACTATTTAAGAAATCTTTCGGGGCATCAAGATTGATAGGGCAAGTACTAGAATATTTCTTAAGGCACTTTTGATACGTTTTATTATTAAAATGACAAGTTTGAATCAAGTATAGTTTTTGACTAATCTTGTTTCATTATTAATGAAAGAAAAGAAATATAAAGGAGTACATTCAGTATTAGTCTAATCTCACTTTCGGCTTAAGCACTAAAGTTACGATTTATTAACTTTAAAGTGCATATGGTTTGATTTTTCTTTCTACATCTATAGTCAACATAAGGTTTGTTTCAAAACCGAAAGGATAACTGAATTCTTTGTCAACTCATGTTTGACTATGTGTAGGAATAAAATGACATAAACGAGAAAAGACTAAAAGTACTCAGTTAACTACTATCCCATAGAATGGCACATTGTTGCAGTAGAGACATCATAATAGATTTTTCCAAAAGTAACAGAATCATGTCCGCTTTATCTGTTATTTAAGGATATGAGTCTCCAAAGTATGTCAAATGACAAGTAAGGTTTTGCTTCTAATCTTAAGAGAAGCACTAAAGACTGCAACATATGGTTTTTAAGACGGGATGTATAAAGTCTCTTAAGGATATTGAGTTTAAGGGGGGAGAAAGGGTTATACTCATTGTTGTATGAAAGAGAGAATTTATTTTTCTCATTTTGTTGCTATAGACAATAATAAAAAATACTTTCTTCTCCCACATAAAGGGAATTGCTCCTTAAAGGTAAACTCAACAACCTTAAGAGAATACAATATTAAATTGAGTTAAACTTAAGATGATAATGACATTTGGGATCTTATCAATTGTCAAAAGTGTGAAATCATTTGGTCACAAATGTATATTTGAGACCGTTTGAATTTCAATAGGCAATGTTGAAAAAGTTATAACTAAAGTCTAATCACCTAGAGTTTCACTCAATACACTCTGTTCTAGAGTTTTAGGATTCCCTAAACGGTGTTACAACTCATAATGATTATCTCATATTTGTGAGGTAAATAAAGTTAATGTTTGTATATACCATGTGATACGTGGGAGATAATCATACACATCCCACTCAATGCCCAATAAAGATCTTACGGTAAAAGAAGAATGCAAAAGGTTCCCTATGCTGTCAACTTTGGGAAATTATATGCATACTTCGGTATGTACGCATTCGGCTAAATCGTACATAAAGTTAGGCAGATATTTAAATAATTCTTTAAAGTAGATATTTGAAAAGAAACAAAAGGATTATACAGTAATTATAGAGAACATAAGGTCATTTATGCTCATTTATCGAAATCAGTTCATTTGGGAGATCATTTGGTTTTTTGATTTCGAGTTTGTATGATGCTTGTACATTATAGATCCATTTAATGTATACCTAATTAAAAGAGAATTTAAGTACGAGTGTTTAGCCAACACCCAAAACTCTTTTTTAACTACGGTAATCAGTTTATAAAAGCATCTTATTTTGTAATATACAGAGTGGATAGGTGTCTATAGAATACGTCGATATAAACTCCATTATGTGTGCACACTAAGGATGTCACCCAAAAGGTCTCATGAGCATATTGCTCGTATGGGTGTCATATTAATTAAGGATATTCGGTTTTAGTGGGAGTTTATAATAAATGTGTTCTTTTGGCGTAGACACAAATTTTGGGTTAATTCGGATTAAGGATACTTTTAGGATAATTTCTGCAGAAATAAGGTTTTGGTTTATTCACACTCTGATTTGTTAAGGTTTGATCTCATTAAGGAGGACCATTTGGAAATAGGTATGTTAAGGTCACATTGCATGACATTTCCATGTTACACATCCACATCATAATCTATGTCATTCGATTGTGTTGATACTGTGACCATTGTTGGGTCCCGTTACGACTAATGTGAACGAAGGCCCCTTTGATTCAGTGTTAGCATGATTGATGGACGAGATTGGTTATAGACACACTTCAGTAATGACAGCAAAGTTGAGCTCAAAGGTTATTTATGCAACCTATAATTATAAAGTTACACATATAGTCCAAGTGGGAGATTGTTGGATCATTAATCCAACGTTGGACTTATATGTGAAATATTATGTGTTGCAAGACTGTCACGTAAAGTTAAGCCCGTTAAAGTGATCGACTAAGGTTTATCTGGATTGGGCTTTAATGTGTCTAATAGGGTGTGGGCCTTTAATGTGTAAAGACATTAGGGTAATTTTATTATAGTGATGGGCTAAAATAAAATTACACAAGATAGCCCATTAGGTTATCTATATATATTGGTCATGGTCCCCGGATCACATGTACGAATTCCATTCTCTATGTATTCCATCGACATAAAGAAAACGAAGAGAAGTCTAAAGGGTTCTCGGGTTCGGATGTACATGATGATCTGGAAGATCCATGATTGTTTCATATCAATTCCACCGGAGTAAGGTACGCTTCCGATTTATATTTATGCACAATATTCTTGATGATTCGGCATGACGGTTCCATGGGATTTATTCAAGTTTATTCCAACAGTCGGATGATTTAGAGGGATGATCTGCAAGAAGTTATTCATTCTCTATCATATGTGTAAGCGATTTAATTAATTTCTAGAAATTATTAAACTTATCGAAATTTACATTGAACAAAAACTTTACGTCGTTTCAGTTTCCAGAGAAGCAACAACGCGATTTCTGAAGGTAATGCGTGTCTAAATACTAGAATATTTTTGAGTTTTAGGTTTAAGATTAGCTTCAATCTATATCAAGAACATGTGTTTGTTTTGGTGAAAAATAATATTTGCTCGATTCTTGCAGTTGCTCCAGTTCGCTATGCTCGATTAGCAGCTGCTAAGATATCACAAGTAATTAAACCTGAGAAAACGACGAACGCATCTTGTAATGGTCAAGGCCCAAGGGGGTCAACTGCCAAAGCTGCACAAAAACGTATCTTCTTCAATGTTCTTCATCTGATTTTATTACAACTCGAAAATGTAGCTATTGATTAAGACTAGAAAACATCTGTTTATATTCTCAGAGAGCTTTCATGTTTATGAACTGCTCATGTTATTTAAGACGACAATGCATCTCAAATGACTTCAACAATTCAAATACAATTTCACTTTTTTATTAATCTTTTTTTTTTTCTTTCCATTTAGCATCACATTGACCTAATAAAGTCACTTCAGTTGTCTTTTTGTACTTACAATTATGAATATAACCCTACATTTTCAATATTTACGCATTGCCCCACGTTCCCGTATCCAATATCTCCTAATATGCGGTTTCCATGTGCCCGTTTCCCCATTTCATTGTGTCTGCGTTCCCATGTCCCTGATAGACAGACTAAACGAGATTAGATATTTAAAAAACATTGGGTAAATTACAAAAACCCCCCTGAGGTATGGTCAATTTACTAAAAAAACCCCTCTTGTTTGGATAATTACATCTACCCCCTCAACTATGATTTTTTTCTTACACCTCCACCCTTATGGTGTCAAATTCAACATAATCATCTAGATTCTGTGAAATGTGCTATAGTTTGTACTCGTTTTGTGTGAAAATACAGTTTCTGATGCCCCACAATCTGATATATACAAGGCAAAAAACACATATTATGATCATCTTGCTTCAAAATGTAGAGTTCGAATAAGATAAAACGGGTACATAAGTGATAATATTCCATATAATCTCGAAGATTCCACTAAATTTGATGAGTTGAGGGGGTGGTTGTAATTATCCAAACAAGAGGGGGGTTTTCGTAATTTGATCATACCTCAGGGGAGTGGTTGTAATTTACCCAAAAACATTTAATGCTAAGCTAATAAATACATTTTTTGGGGGATACATATACAAATGATGGATGGACAGATGGTCTTGTAGATACTAAAAATTGAATCGGATTAATTTAGACTGAATGTTATCTGATATCTCACTTCACATTTACAAATCAAGGATTTTCCACTAAAAAACATCATTCTGATAATCATCTCAATTTCGCGCAGTGAATTCATGACAATAGTTATCAAGAAACAGACATCTTGAAACAACCAAGGTTCATTTGCCACATCGTTACAAATAAGAATCCCGTGTTGTAAGACAATTGAAACTGAAACACAGATGAATATGAATGAATACAAAGGATTTCACTTACCTGTACATCTGAACCAAGGTATAATAACCATTATTCATCAGAACTTCTAGAAGATTTGAGCATTCAATGGAGAGTGGAGAGCTTTTACTACGGTTCTCATGGCGGGAGAGCATTCATATCGCAAGCACAAGGAGGCAATTGCAGCCATCTGTTTGAAGCAAAAATCATCATAATAAAGATTCACGAAACGATACGCAGTTCATCTTGGAGAACAAGTGATTTTACCTTTGCAACCTCCTCTGCAGCGTAGTTTCCGTTCAGTCTAGCATCCACAAACTGCTTTACCTTGTCTTTCCTGAGCTTCGGCATTGCCTGGTTGTTGAAATCGACAGATTAATCAGTTATAGCATATGTGTCTATGTACGTTGAAACAACTAAAAAAAAGTAGCATTCACACACACACAAGGAAAATTGCATACCCATTTCACAAGAGACTCCTCTCCCGATGATGTATGGTATAATGGTTTACGACCGGTCAAGAGTTCCAACAATACCACGCCAAATCTGTAAACATCATCACGCGTGCCACATTTTCTTGGGTATCTACCATTGGAAATAAAATATTTCAGGCATAGTTAAAAAAAATACAAACTCAGAATTACATGTTATGTTCATCTCCGGAAGAGATTCAGAAAGGAGCATACTTAAGGGGGTCATGAGCAAAAGATCTTGTCGGGTGGATATCGAAACCATAAATGTCATCTATCATTTCAGGCTCTTGATTTGGCAGGCCGAAATCAGCAATCTTAGCCACGTCATAATCATCAAAAAGTAAAACATTGCTAGAGTTGATGCAACCATGAGTCTGTGCCTTGCTGTGGATGTATTCTAATCCTTTTGCAGCCCCAATAGCAATTTTAAATCTTTGGCTCCATGATAGAACCGGGACTGGCGCTAAGACTTCGGCACCTATATGTCCTGTGTCGAAAAATTAAATTTGTAAGCACTTGTATAATCGAACTGTATACACAGCAAGAAGCTATAACAACCGAGTATAACGACGATTTACATAAAAGGACTTGTCATAAACTGAGCAAAACTTATACAATTACATATTTACATTTCAGCAAGAGATATTTTATTTTGGAAATAATTCAACTTGTTCAAACAATTGCCTTGAAAGACATTGGCAAACTTACCATGAAGAGCCGCATATAGGGATCCATGTGGAGCAAACTCATAAGCCAAGACTCGAAGACCACCATCCACACAATAACCAAGAAGGTCAACCACGTTTTCGTGCTTTAGCCTGGATATCACTGTGACCTGAAAAACCATTACTAACCAACGTATTTATAAAGTAATAATCAATGCATATATATCAACAGACATAGTGTTTATGGCCACACCTGTGCTAAAAAATCTTGGTCTTGCTGGTAACTAAAGTTAAACTTGTTTTCTTTTGAGGGAGAGTAGAGATTTTTTATTGCTGTAGCTTGTCCTGTTTTCGTGACTCCACGGTATACCCTTCCATGGGATCCCTCACCAATTAAACAATTCAAACCAAAATTTTCAGTAACATCGTTTAATACATCTACAGGAATGGCATCAACAGCAATCAGCAACATATCAGCAGTCTGTTTGTCCTTTTCCGCTACTTCTGTAGCACGATAAAAAAAGGTTTTGAATTATACAGTTGCGAAAAAAAATTGTAACTGGTAAAAGCATTTCATTTTTACCAGATGGTTTAACTCGGTTAAAAAATGCATCCCATAGCCGAAATCGTGATGGTTTATTTTTTGTGGCTTTTCTCCCATCTTTTCTTCCAGATGTAGGCTCAGCATCAACCACTTTGCTATTAGTTTCCTCTTTAAGAGAGGTTGTATGATTCTGTACATCGGTGGAGGTCATTGTGGGTTTCCCAGTGCTAACTGATAACTTAGTTTTGCCATCCGATGGATGTAATGATTTGTCTGTTGTGGCTTTTTCTCCTTCTCTTCTTCCAGATGAAGGCTCTGCATTAACTACTTCTCTATTTGTATTTTGCTCTTTCAGAGAGGGTGTAATATCAGTGGAGGCCACGGATAAGTTAGTTTTCTCATCAGATGGATGGGAATCATTCACATCACTTGCTATCTCGTTAGGTACCAGGGATTTTGAGCTCTCTTGCTGCTTAAGTGCAAATTCAAGTTGTAGCACAACTTGAGCCATTGTTAACCGTTTCCTTGGTTCATCGTGCAAGCAACTTTCAGCAACCCCCACAAACACCTTCAAGCTATCTTCTGTGATTTCGCCCCTCAGATTTGAAGCTATAATCTGGTCAGCATTTCCATTACTAATCTTTTCTCGAGCCCACTTGGTCAGTACTCGCTCATCCGCAGCAGCCCTCTGATCCACTGCTGGTCTACCACTCAATACTTCCAGCAACATCACCCCAAAGGCATAAGTATCACTTTTCACAGTCAATTTACCGGTATTAAAATAATTCGGGTCAAAATACCCAAATGTGCCCTTCACTTTGGTGCTGACATGGCTCTGTAACTTACGTTTGCTTAAATATTTAGCCAGACCAAAATCTGAAACCTTAGCTACAAAATTTTCATCCAGGAGGATATTTGAAGCCTTTACATCGCGATGTATGAGTGAGTGGCCAGTGTGAAGATAATTTAGCCCTCGACCAGCTCCAATGCATATGGTAAGCCGTTGCTTCCATGTGAGAGAAAGATGGTCTTTACCCTTCCTTGACAGTTTGTAGAGATGGTCAACCAGCGTTCCGTGGGGCAAATACTCATAAACAAGAATCCTTTCTCCAAGCTCATTGCAGTAGCCAATCAGAGAGACTAGATTAACATGTCTTAGCTCAGTTAGTGTTTCAATCTCTGTCAAAAACTCGTGCGGCCCTTGATGGGATTCTAGTTTTTGTCGCTTTATGGCGACAGTCTGTCGCCCATTATCAATAAGCCCTTTGTAAACTCTACCAAATCCACCCCTTCCAATGAGATGCGATTCACTGAAATCTTCAGTTGCTAACTGTAATTCGTCTAGTGAAAACCGGCGACAAAGTTGTTTTGCCCTGGCCGATGGCTTGTTTTCCTCCTCTGTACCACTAGCTTCCAGAAATTGTCGAGATGTATAAACAATGGTGTTCACTGCAACAAGTAGTGTTATCGCTGCAGTTGCAATCATGTTTCTGTGACCAAGAATATGATGTAAATTTTGGTACGATGAATCAGGGGAAGAAGGCAAGGGATTTGGACTGGCAAGACTATCGTCGGGGTTGCTCAACTTTATTATTTCAAATCCTTTAAGTGGTCCATGTCCATCCATGAACTCATCATTTGATTTCAGACAAATCAAGAGATCGTGTTTACCCTCTTCTTTGTGCCCTTTCATCATCACCATGTAGTCCCTATACCAGGGGATGCTATTTTCATCAATATTCGCGATCATTTCATTAATGCTAACTGTAAAAATAACACCACCAATCTTGGCCATCTTGTATCCTAACTCTGAGAAATGAAGTCTGACCAGATACCTGAATCCCACATCCACAGATACTTTCCAGGTAATATTGTTGATCTTGCTTGCTTTCTTCTTTGAAATGGTTTCCCGCATCCCAAACATGTCATTGATACTACCACCAGATAAAACAGAATCATGTTTAATATTTACCCTGCGGATTATTTTGAGTGCAGTCCCGTTGTCAACATAGACCAGAGACTTCCCAACCATTTGGACTCCGATATTTCCTTTGTGGAAGTATGAAAGATCGGGAGGCACTGAGATAACCTCAATGCCATTTATGAAAGCATATGTGTTTAATGATTCACTACTTGAAGGAGAGAAAACTATGTTCAACTGTTCATTTTCTTCTATGTTCACGCAAAATTCTTTAACAAAAGAATTCAGACCAAGAGCATTAGCAGCAAGGGAAGCACTAAAATTGCTTAGCAGGGTGAAAGCCCCGGCTTCAACATCGAATAAGTCCCTTAACCTTTTGAAGCCTTTATAAGGAACGGGATTAAAGTGAAGGCGGAGAATTTTCTCACCCGGAGTTACTTGAAATGCATAGGAGAAACAGGAGCGAGAGAATCGACCCGTTTTGTAGGGAATCGGATCATCAGCAGAGATCAACTTATGAGTCACACTTGAAGCAGTTGATGAGCCCTTTATTTGAAACAATGAAGATAATTTTGGCTGTGCATCTCCATGCCATTCCTTGCCGTCTCGTGCCGTAGAGATGCCACTTGAGCCACAACTAAGCGAAACATCGCCTGTTAAGTGAGTGGGATTGTTAGCGGCGGCTGTGGATTTGATGAATAAACACAAAAATAGCAAGATAATCGAAAATGGACACAGGTTCATGCTTCAAGATGTACTCTGTTATAAACCAAGAAGAATGATCTGCTATGAGTTTCTTTTATCCCAATATTACTTCTTTAGTATAATAATAGTTTAAGGCAATTAGCTGTTGGTGAAGCTTTCTATTCATTTTTCTATTTCAACATGGTTAGAACCAGTCTCCAATATTGCTTGGTCTTTGGTTGACAATTCTCCTGTCATTTTAAAGGTTTCATTTTATACTCATTGATCAGATGTTTAACAAGACCCTCTAAAAATATATGAAACAGAACAGATTTATGAATGCTTGAACATAAAAGATATAATGATTTTCCTCTGAAGTTTGACCGTAATCGTGCAGAAATTTTCAAGAAATATTGATACTTCATGAGCTATTTCTCGCACTGGAAAACAAATAGTTACAGATTAATTAATGAAAACAAATCTTCATGTTGTTTGCATATTGATAATGTCACTTTTTTTTTTATTCCTCTTACTACAGTAAAGATTTACGTTGAAGGGGCCTTTTTTTATTCCTCTTATTATAGTAAGGAATCACGATTAGCTCAGGTAAAGAGTTCTTAACACAAAGGCTATCCTAATGAGTTTAAATTGGTAATTTACCTAATTATGCACAATAAATTACTGACTCTATTCAACTTAAAAATTAAACTTCTAAGGATTGAGATGGTAAAGGGGAAAACAAAAGATCAATCTTGACCCAAAAACTGTTCATCATCCTAACGTAATTGATCCCAAATCTTGCATAATCCAGATTAATAACTACCAGTCAAGAAACTAAAACCAATTAACACATAATAAATATCTCAAGTAAAATCTGTACCTACAACAGAAATGTCCTTTTTCTCCTCCGCTGTAGCCTCTTCAGGCTACCGTTTCGGGCAATGGCAAAACCTAATAGCCCTAACGTCTTTCACGACACCGCTGAGCTTCATCGAGCCACCAAAATCTCTCCGGAACAAAATCTGAGAACGGCGATTACATCCTCAGCTTCGGACACCACTTCCTGGAAGTGTTGTGTCGCAAGAAAAAAAATTCAAGAAATTTTAGACAAATTGTATATGGAGAACTGCAACTCATGAGAATCATCCAGTCCAAAAGGGGTTGAAGCTTATTAAACATCCAAGTACGCACTGTGTGGTCATATTTCTGAAGTAAGCCGATTTAGTTCTTATATGGCCCTACAATTTAAACTACTGTATACAGGCTGTTTAAAGTGTAGATCAGAAATCTGCTGTTATTACATAGCTGTTTAGAGTGCATATCAGAAAACCCAAAAAATACTATCCAACAGATCGATGTTCCACCGAGCTTGTGCGTAAGCACAGGCTGTGAATATATCGTCTATATCACGTAAATACATTACACCCACGCACATATGTGTAAAAGAACGGTGAATCCATCACACAATGTATTTTTACTATACACAGATTTTTTACAAGTTTGACGGAGATCGAGTATTCAAATAGACTGGAGAGCTTTCACTACAATGTTCATGTTTGGACGGAAATCAACTTCAAATCGCACACACAAGGCAGCAATTTCAGCCATCTGTTTGAAACAAATCATTAGAAGAAACAATCTTGTACATTTAATTCAGTCTAAAACATAGACTAATCAAGCAAAACAATACTGATCATATACCTTTGCAACTGCCTCTGGAGGGTAGTTTCTATTCAGTCTAGGATCGACGCACTGCTCTACCCCGTGTTTGTAGAGCATCGGTGTTGCCTGGAATTTTTTATACATGGAAGATAGTATTGAGACTTGTTATTCGAGAAAAGAAAATAGTTAGCTATTAAACATTACATACCCATGTCACAAGAGACTGCTGGTCCCTTGACTGTGTATGATCTATTGGTTTGCGGCCTGTCAAGAGTTCCAGCAGTAACACCCCAAAGCTGTACACATCACTCCTCCAACTTAGTAGGCCCGTGACATATCTACCATTGGAAACAAAATGACTTGAGGCCCGATAAAAAGTACAAAATCCATACTACTATCTCTGTTCATCTCTAGGAAAGACAGAAGATACCATACTCGGGGGCATGATAACCAACAGTCCCAATTAAGCCAGTGGAATCAAGAGTATCACTGAAAGTTGTTCGACTTCGCAGATAAAAATCAGCAATCTTAGCAAAATCATAATCATCAAAAAGTAAAAAATTGCTAGATTTGATGTCACAATGAATCTGTCCTTTCTCGTGAATGTATTCTAATCCTTTTGCACCTCCAACTGCGATTTTGACTCTTTGGTCCCAAGACAGAGCCAGACCAGGCTCTGATGCTTTGAAACCTTTTTTTCCTATTGCATAGAAAATAAACTGCTAGTCAATAAAAAAATGAAGATTTATATGAAGGGGGACTGTCATTAACTTAGCCAAACAATATAGTGTCCCCTTTTCAGCAATCATGTGTAACAACCAACAAAAGATAATCTTGGGATATCATTTACTCTCGAAAAAGTCAAACTAATACATCTGAACCAATACATTAGAAAAGTTTAACATTGTCACCCAAAATAATATGTCAAACCAGGTAGCTTCACCAAAATAAATTGAAATAAATTATGGCAAACTCACCATGAAGAATATCATATAGGGATCCATGTGGAGCAAACTCATAAGCCAAGACTCGTAGACCACCATCCACACAATAACCAAGTAGTTCAATCACGTTTTCGTGCTTTATGGTGGAAATCATTGAAACCTAAGCAATCAGATGTTAAACAACTTATCTTCATGGAAATTATCAAATATGCAGATATATCAACAGACATAGTGTTTATGGATAAACCTGTGCTAAAAAATCTTGGTATGGCTGGTACCCAAAGTTGAGCATTTTAATTGCTGCAGGCTGTCCTCTTTTCATGACTCCAACGTATACCCTTCCATAGGATCCCTCGCCAATTAAAGAGTTTGAACCAAAACTATAAGTAATCTTATATAATTCATCTACTGAAATGGCATCAACAGCAATTGGCAGCATATCAACAATCTGTTTGTCCTTTAATACTGGAATGGGGGGGACAACAACCGGTAGCAAATTGACCATCCGTTTGTCCTTTAATACTGGAATGGGGGGGACAACAACCGGTAGCAAATTGACTGTCCGTTTGTCCTTTAGTACTGGAATGGGAGGGACAACAACCGGTAGCATATTGACCGTCCGTTTGCCTTTTTCCGCTTCTTCTGTAGTGTGGCAGCCTGTAGAATTGCCTAAAGAAAGTTTCTGATGAGCTACAGTAGATAATGGAAGTTTGAGCATCAAAATATGAAAAGGATTTGGGTTTTTGTTTTTTAATAAAATGGCTGCCATACAAATTGTAACTGAAAAAAATTCATTTTTACCAGCACATCACTTATTATTCCATTTGGTACCGGAGATGTTGGGCTCTCCTGCTGGTCAAGTGCAAACTCAAGTTGGAGCACAATGGCTTGTCTGATCCTCATAGACAAGAATCATTTCCCCATGCTCATTGCAGTAGCCAACCAGAGTGACTAGATTGACGTGTCTTAGCTCGGTTAGTGTTTCAATCTCTGTCAGAAACTCGTGCGCACCTTGTCTGGATTCTAGTTTTTGTCGCTTTATGCCTACAGTCTCACCCCCGTTATCAATGAGGCCTTTGTATACATTACCAAATCCACCCCTTCCGAAGAGATGCGCATCACTGAAATTTCCAGTTGCTAATTGTATCTCAGCTAGTGAAAACCGGCGACAAAGTCGTACAGCCCTGGCTGATGGCATGTTTTCCTTCTCCTCTACACCACCAGATTCCCAGATTTGTCGAGATATATACAGAATGATGTTTACTGCGACAAGTAATGTTATTGCTAAAGTTGCAATCATATTTCTGTGACCAAGAACTTTGTGCAGATTTTGTCTAGTCCGATACGATGACTCATGTGAAGAAGGCACGGGATTTGGACTGGCAAGACTATTATCGTGATTGCTCAGCTTCATTATTTCAAATCCTTTAAGGGGTCCGTGCCCATCGATGAATTCATCACTTGATTGGAGGCAAATCACGACATCTCGTTTACCTTCTTCTTTGTGCCCTTTAGTCACCACCATGTAGTCCCTATACCAGCGGATGTCATTTTCGTCATCCCTTTCTCTAACCATGTCTGCTCTAGTAGCGGCAATCATTTCATTTATGTGAACTGCAAAAATGACTCCACCAATCTTGGCCATTTTTAGTCCTATCTCGGAGAAATGAAGCCTGACCAGATACCCGAATCCCACATTCACGGATACTTTCCAGGTGATATTGTTGATCTTGCTAGCTTTCTGCTTCGGAACGGTTTCCCACATCCCAAACATGTCATTAACACTACCAGCAGATAAAACAGAATCATGTTTAACGTTTACCCTGCGGATTATTTCAAGTGCAGTGTTTCTGTCAACATAGACCAAAGACTTCCCAACCGTTTGGACTGAAGTATCTCCTTTGTGGAACTAAGAAAGGCTGGGCGGCACTGATATAATCTCGATTCCATTTATGAAAGCATATGTGTTCAATGATTGACTACTGTAAGGAGAGAAAACTATGTCGAACTCATGGCTTTCCTCTATATGTACACAGAACTCCTTGACATAGGAATTGAGGCCAAGAGCATCCGCAGTAAGAGAAGCACTGAAGTTTCTTAGAAGCATGAAAGGGCCAGCTTCAACATCGAATAAGTTCTTTAACCTTTCGAAGCCTTTATAAAGAGCTGGATTAAAGTGAAGGCTGATAATTTTCTGACCTGGATTGACTTGAAATGCATAGAGAATGGGGAAAGAGAGAGTCGACCAGTTTTGTAGGGAACTGGATCATCCGCAGAAATCCACTTATGGATCACACTTGAGGAGGTAGATGATCCCTTTATTTGTAGCAAGGAAGATAACTTTGGATGCGCATCTCCACGCCATTCTTTGCCATCTCGTGCTGCAGAGGTGCCACTAGAGCCACAACTAACCGAAACATTACCTGTGAAGTGAGTTGGGTTGTTAGTAGAAGCTGTGGATGTGTTGAATAAGCAGACAAATAGCAATACAACTGAAAATGCACAGAGATTCATGCTTTGAGCTATGCTCTGCTATAAACCAGAAGAATGATATGTGGATGAGTTTTCTATCGCAATGCTTTGAGCTATCCCAGTAATAATAGGTAAATAAATATGCGCAGGCTTCTAGGCATATATATCTTAGTCATAGTACAGTCATTGTCCACTATTGCTTGGTCTTTGGTTGACAATATTTCTGTCTTTTTCAAGGTTTCATTTTATACTCGAGGGTCAGAGGTTTTGATTAAGATGGTCCTCTAAAAATATGGGAACTAGACCAGGTTTTAGAAAGCTTGAACATAGAAGACATTGATTTTCTCTCTAAAGTTTGACCCTGTTCTGAGGTTTGCGAGAATTGTTAATAGTTCATGAGCTATTTCTCGGACGGGAAAGCAACTAGTTACACAATAATTAATGAAAACAAATGTTTATATTATTTGAATATTGAAAATGTCACTTTTCATCATTCCTCTTACTACAAGAAAGATTAACGTAGAAGGTACCTTTAAATTTTTTCCACAACCATTACTCTTATGAATAGTATAGAAATGGGGATACTATAGTAATGAACAACGATTAGCTACAGTTAAAGAGGTCTTAAAATGAAAATAAGGCTATGCTAATCAGTTTAAACTGGTGATTTACTGATTTACCCAATTAATATTTTTGCTAATTATGTACAATAATTAATGTATTTCTTCAACTTAAAAATTAAACTTCTAAGGATTGAGAAGGTAGTTACTTATGATGATAAAGGGAAAAAAATCAATGTTTGGCCCAAAAACTGTTCGTCATTCTAACGTAATTGGATCCCAAATCTCGCATAATCCAGATTAATCACTACCAATCAAGAAACGAAAATCAATTAACACATAATACATACCTCAACTAAAATCCATGTCCATCCATGAAATCATCATCCGAGTGGCGGCAAATCATGAGATCTCCCTTACCCTCTTCTTTGTGCCCTTTCATCATCCCCATGTAGTCCCCATTTTAAGTGGAGATATTTTCTTCGGTTATCTCCACAACCATATTCTTTCAGTATGCAAGATTTCTGTATATTTACACAGAACTCCTTAACAAAAGAATTCACACCAAGAGCGTTAGCAGTAAGAGAAGCACTGAAGTTGCTTAGCAGGGTGAACGGACCGGCTTCAACATCGAATAAATCCTTCAATCTTTCGAAGCCTTTATATAGTGCGGGATTAAAGTGAAGGCGGATAATTTTCTGACCTGGATTCACTTGCAATGCATAGGAGAATCGGGAAAGAGAGAGTCGACCCGTTTATTAGGGAACGCCGAACGGGATCATCATCATCAGCAGCAGAGATCAACTTACGGACTACAGTCGAAGCGGTTGACGAGCCCCTTATTTTTAGCGAGGAATATAATTTTGGATGCGCATCTCCACGCCATTCTCTGCCGTCTTGTGCTGCTGAGGTGGCACTTGAGCCACAATCAACTGAAACATCTCCTGTGGAGTGATCAGTTGGATTACTACTAGTGGCTACGAATGTGTTCAACGTAATTGTATAGAAATTTCTCAAGTGTGAAAGCATAGTTACAGTCATAATACAGATTATTTAATGGTGATGAAAATCCAGATTATTTTAATCCAGAGTTGACATGTATTTAGTGCTGATGAAAATTCATCGTCCACAACTATCTCAATTAACAAATAATATACATCTCAATTAACACATAATACAGATAATCCAGATTTAATCACTACCAAAATCAACAAACTAAAATCAATTAACACATAATACGTACCTCGAGTAAAATCAGTACCTACAGCAGAAATGTCCTTTTTCTCCTCCGCCGCCGCGGCCTCTTCAGGCTACCGCCCCTCCGACCTTCCCGGTGGCGATGCTCTTATCACAGATACATTTTTCAGCTCCGCCGCCGTAATAGCCCAAACTTCTTTCGCTAGGCGGCTAAGCTTCATCCTCGGCTTCACACACCGTTTCCTGAATTTTTTGGGGAAAAAATTATGCATAAGCTACTGTGAATAATCAACAAATTTTAATGGAAATAACTTTTTCCAAGATGAGTCTGTTTTCCAAATTCGGGTAAATGCATTTGTTTCTATTTCCAAAATCAATTTTCAGTTTTATACTATACATAGGATTATATGTTTGTTTGAAAATTTTCACACACGTTTTAACAATTTTTCCAATAGAAATACACTATTTTTACTCTTCTCACTTTTCAAACGAGTTAAATGCAAAAACTCCCCCTGTGTTAATTCTAAAGACCAGAAAACCCCCTGTGATAAAAAAAAGTGACTCATACCCCCCTGTATTCAATGGTCAAAGTCGTTTCCCCCCCTCCCGATCGGCTGTGTCGTTCACGCGCTATTCGTGCGACTCTTGTTTGATTTTTGTACAATATTTTGTATGAAAAGACAAGATCGCCCCTATGAGACTTTCTTATTTTTAATTTTCAATTTAAACAAATAAATTGTGAAAAGATATATATTATATAAATTAATTAATTAAAAAATCATGTTCTTCTTCCCTGCCCAAGCCTCCTCCGCTGCCGCCATTGAAAAATCAAGTTCTACCTCCAGGGTTGCCCAAGCCTCCTCCGCCGCCATCCGCTTGCAGCAATTCTCTTTATCATCCTTCTCCCCCGCTTAAATCTCTTCTCCAAGTTGTCGTCCGGCGACCTCCACTTCGACAAAGAGCAAAATCCACCGTTGGCCCTCTCAAAATCGTCGTCTTCACTCGCAAATGGCCCATCGGCGCCACTTTCAGATTTATTATTTCACTAATTTGCCGCCACCTTCAATTCCACCGTAAGTCCGTACCCCCTTCTTCCATTCCGCCACCACTTCAATTCTTCCCCACCGTCAGTTCCTCCCCCAACAACTCAGAATTTCAGCCCTAAATTAGGTGAGAAAATCGAAATTGAACACGATTCAGAGGGTAAGGAAATCGAAGATGGGCTCCAGTGGCCTTGTGCCGGCGGTTTTCTTCGGGAGCAAACTCGTCGGATTAACGTCCCTCCACCTTAGAGGTTGCAAAAAATCCCGTTTTATTTTGAATTGGGCGGAGCTTTTGACGGATATGGATTGAATCTCGAGTGGGTTTGAGATTTGTATGATGATAAGAAGGTGGCGACGAAGACGACAGTGGTGGGGTGAGGTGTGTATACTTTCGCAGAGAGAAGTGTGTGTATTTGTGTGTTTTTTAATTGGAGAGAGGGCTTAATTGAAAATACAATGGACTGAATTGAAAATTCCAAAAAAATTGTATCAGTCTTAAAATTCGGAGCTCGAAAATATTTTTCTGGAGGGCTTTTTCGTCTTTTCGTGAGTGGTCAACGGGGGAAAACAAAAAGGGTTGAGTGTGCTTGCTTGAACACCTTATAGGGGGTATTTGTCACTTTTTTTGTCACAGGGGTTTTCTGATCTTTAGGATTAACACAGGGGTGGTTTTTGCATTTAACTCCTTTTCAAACCTATAATAATTACCTACTAACTTATTTTTCTCCCCTCTCTCCCATTTCATTAATAATAATAATAATAATTGTTGATTTTAAATGCCTATGAAAATCTGTTACCGAAGTTGTAACAGTTGTTGTGGGAACAGTATGCAGTTACAACTACAATTCTTGTGTTAACACAGTTATAAACTACTTAAAGCGAGTAAACAAACACAAGAATTTTATGTGGTTCAGACACAAATGTGCCCTACATCCACGTGGACCTACAAACACGATTTCACTAGTTCAGATTTACAGTATACATTAATAGGACTTATTAAAAACACTAAAGACTCCCTCTTTATGTAATATGCCGTTCTTGTACACAACTTGAACTCCGGTCTCTTCCAACATCAGCTCCACACCGCGTGCCTCGAACTCCCTTCAGGCCTGAACTCCCTTCAGAAACGCGGCTGATCTCCCTTGAGATCTATACAGCAGATCTGTATATATTTGCACACACAACGATGGCACAGTGCAACGATGACACAGTCCTGCTCCGCAGAACGCCTTAGCAAACCTTCGACGCTATGAAGTGGTTTTTCTTCCAAATAATGCGCACGGTTCTTGTATGTCTTGGAGGCTTATATAGCCACGAAAATAAGCCCTAAGACCTAACTTGAACCCTAAGAAATCTATTTAACTAGGTAATAGAATCCTAGTTGATTTCTACTTCTATTCTAGATAAGTACAAAAAATACCTAACTAGAATAAAATACATGGAAATAAATCTAAGTCTTAATAGAAGTATTATAAAATAATACTCTAATAAATTCCAAAATA